GTAATTTCAATGGCAGACAACAACAGATATCCTATATACATATTATTATTTCTCTCATTTAGAATATTCTGGTAAGAAACATTCTGTATCTTTTAATTTATGAAAGGAGCTGCAACGTAGACCCAAAGAGCTAAGAAACAAAGCACTTTAAAAGCTTACATACATGTATATATCGTTGAACGTTTAAAACTCGGATAATAAACAAATAATTATCGTAATTTAAAAAGAAAATCGTAATATTCTGCAATTTCAAAGCCGTTGCCACGTAAAGGCTTTTAAATGCGCTTTGTGTTCGGTCATTTTGCTCTTTTGAGTAAAAAAAAGAAGTGAATGATTGATCTGAAAATTTAAAGAAACGTTATTTGTATAGCCCTTCATCAAATGGTATGATAGTCTCATCATGTAGACAACCATTATTGGGGTATCTTTATCAAAATCACAAAAAGTGCAAGGCAGTTTAGTGAGAAACTTTAGAAAGTTCTTCAATTTTTATGAGATAATTGAGCCGTGTCACGACAAAACCAACATAATGGGTTTGCGACCAGCATGGATCCAGACCAGCCTGCGATCGCGCAGTCTGATCGGGACCATTGCTGTTCGCTATCATTTTCTTTTTACTTTTATGGGGTTTGTAAAGCAAAAAAGCTGGTCCTATCAGACTGGCGGAAAATGCGAAGGCTGGCTGGTCCTTTCCCGGGGTCGAAAAACCCTTTATTTTGGTTTTGTCGTGACACGGCTCATATGTTGTCATGCGAATTTTCTCTCATAGAAAGAGTTCAACCATGTTTTCTTCATCTTATTATTATCATTTTATTTTTTCTTGGAGTGTGGGTACATGTTGCAATTGCTTGAAACGAAATTCTTGATTTCAAATTCTTTTTATTAATTTTAAAATAGGGAACAAAACCCATAAAGAACGTCTTAAAAGGCAAAATTGAAGATTTGATTGATAACGGTATTTGCTATCTTCCGTTTACGACCCTAGCACCGGCTTAAACAGAATTTTGCATTTAAGCATTAAAATGGAGACATTGCAATTGCGTGTTTATTTGTGTTAATTAAATCATACAAAAGTGACAACACGTTGTGAAATATTTATTGCAAATTATCAAATGTGGTTTTTATTTTAAAAATTCGATTAGTTTATGTAACTTGCCTTAACCACTTTCTTCTCTTTACAGACTCAATCAAAAACGAACCTTCATCATTTTAAATTATGCCGTTTTGGTCGTACTTTTGGGGCTCTGATTCTTAAATACATACAAAATATATCGCTTACCAATCATTGTAAGCGTTGTTATAGCAACCCTTTTCTCCATGACTGTTTTTGAGATCTTTTGTCTCGGACGTAAGTATGCGCTTTTGCTCCGTTCCTTGTAAATCTGTATAAAAAAGAATGTGTTAAAAATTTAAAAAAAGGTTTAAGCAAATGAAGCTTTGATAAAGCACAGAGGGGAAACAGAAGGTTTTTATCAACCAAGAAATCGCGACATGACCTAAAAAGTGTTGGTTTAAGATAATATCAACATGCAAATGTAATAATTATAAAGGAACGCCACTGACGTAAAAAGGTCTTACATAAAAAAATTGGGCACTTATATAAAACAGAAATATATAACAAAAGACAAATTGAAAATCTTACTTTGTGTTATTCTTAGCACGGTTTGAGTGAAAAGCGTTGCAACGCTTTTGAATTTTTTGTCCTTTTTTCGCACTTTAGATATTGATTCTGGAAAAACGGAGTGAGCGAATCATCTGCAAGTTTGTATACTATTCATTGGTCTAGATCTACATCACATGGAACAATAACCCCCCTAAATATTTCTAGACCCCTCATATCTAAAACTCTTTGTGAAGTGCCCTTAAAATATTGATAGTATAATTGTAAATGAAAGACAAAATATCTAGATATTTATGATCAACACTATACATACTTTACAGGCAATGTTGATGTATCCAAAAGCAATAATGAACAAAGGGATAAGCCATCCGAGTATACCCAAGGCAATAGTGTAAGAGAGAGCAACAGCGTCTTTTGTCTCCCATTTCACGCAACAGGCTATTCCAACATCCTCTTCTTTATATCCAGACCACCCGAGCAAAGGCCCAGTTGCCCAAAATGCACCATGTCCGAAACATCCGAGAATCAAAATGGTACATCTGCATGGAGTTTTCGTAAGTTTTCTGTCACGTCGTACAATAACAAAATACCGTTCCAACGCTATCACTGTAAGCATTGTTATTTGAGAAATACCGAGAGCAGTTGTAATAAAAGCATAAAACTGGCATAGTCCATTGCCGAAAACCCATTTCTGGCTGAAACTTGATACAACCACAAATGGAACACCAAATATTGCATAGGAAATATCACTTAGTGACAAGCCGATTATCAAGGTATTGTCAGCAGTCCGAACTGTTCTATTCTTAACATAAGTAAACAAAATCGCAAAATTTGAAAAGAAACCTATCAGCATTATTGCAGTCATTAAAGTGCCAATGATATAGAAGGCATAACTGTGAAAAGTAACGGTATCCATACTAATGATACTGCGGTTAAAATAAAGAGGAGTTTAAGCTATACTGCATACTCTATTTTTCCACGCTAAGTTATTAATTCCTTTTTTTGCAATCAAATACCACAAATGATTTTTTCTTTAACATATCCACTCTCAATTAAAACCGTATTAAAGTAAACTTCACAAACTTTATAAACAAAATGCCACCATTAATGTCCACCTAAGATGATCTCCGTCTCTTTGTGAATTTCGCTTACAATTTTGTTTCAAATCACGTTAGCTATATGTGCCTTTCCTCCTTGAGCATTAGAGAGTTCTATACCTGGTGGTCAGTAATTAGCGTCTGAAACGAAAGTGACGATGTATCAATGTCTTTTATAAGGTTGAAACTGTAGCTGTTTCAACCAAACACATTTTTTTGAAATACTAAACTTTATATAGATTGGGTTGCGTGACAGACTTCTTATGTTACCATTTTCAATCTTCCCGTTGTTAATTATATAGTTGTGACAAAAAAACCTTTTTGATGCGTTTAGATTTATTTTTGCTGGCCGCCGAAATCATCTTTATTGGCCAAATATATGCCGCCGGAATCAACTTTATGGGCCAAATATGTACACACTTGCTGGCCCGGTCGTAGAGCCCACATTAGCGGCGAATTGTCAAGCAGAATCTTCCTCAATGCGTTCTTCGTTCGGTTGTGGTAAATGGAGACGAAAATGGCTCTTGTTAACACTATTCCCACCCCAAAGTTGGTACCGACAGGTCAACCAATCCTTTCTGGTACTTTCGATGACTTTACCTTGACCTTTCTTGTGCCTATCCCGCAAAGATCACGCCTCGGGAGTGATTTGGTACAGTTAGAAAACATTTCGCCAACTCTATAACGCTGTCTTAAGGAAAGTAGGTCTCATATGTTTACCATTTCTGTCCGACACCTTTTTTGCAAATATCAAAGTATCTGCCTTAAAAAAGGGCATTGCTCTTCAGAAATTTACTTTATCAGAAATCAACTGATTTTTCAATGCAACGCGCTTTGTCTTGATTTAAGATTAAATAAGTTCACTTGTTTTGAATACTTGAAATATTTTAGGCAATTTATGTAGGCTGTATACTTTTCATTTAAAGAAAAAGACAGGCTTGAGTCTAATATGTTTTATAATATTATTATAAAGGACGCAATGGCTATTTATCTCGTATTTACCCCCCCCCCCCCTTCCCCTCACGTCTCTCCGACATGACGTTGTTACGGCGACCCAAATTAATGTTGATTTTTTTTGTCGGAAAACGCAGAAGTCGTCTAAGGAGTCCCGATGTCATTTTTGATAAAAATCCAGACCGGATTCCGTTGTGTGTTTCAAGTACTTTTATGTGATTTGTACTGCGTTGCCACAGTGTTCGGTCAAAAGTGTTCATATGGCGTTATTACGACGTTAATATGCGAAATTGCGCTTTCTTATTTTCGTTGTTATGAAGGACAAAATCATATTATGCGAGTCTCTGACGAGCATAGTATTGTTTTATTCAACGAGTTCAGTAAATTTAGTATTGAATCTACACGAATATAATATTATATTTATCACGTATATAAAATAAAAACGGTAAACTGTTGACAAGAGTCATTTTTCTTTGACTTGCCTTTAGTGCAATGTTTAAAGCGCAAATGACGTCACGACAAACTGTTATTACACTAGTGTAATGTCGTCTAGTGTTATGCCATTTTTATTACACTCCTGCGCTTAAGTTTATGTGACAAAGTGTGTTATATGACTGTATGGTGACTATGGTGTTAATGCGGCGTCCTCACGGCAGAAAATGACTGGAAAATTAATCGTTGTACAATGTATAAAGAACTACAGGGTCGTACGGTATTGTATGAGGGTCGCAATAGAGACGTCATTTACATGGCAAACAATTACTGTGCTGTTATACGGGGACTATGTGGAATCTACAGTGCGTAAATAGAACGTGTGTTTGGGGTGTTCACTAGGTTACTACTAGGTTCCAAGGGCGTTCTAGCCCACGACGTACTGAGAGTCTGAGTATACCTTTACTCGGCGTATATTGTGTGTCCTGAGACAATGATTGGATTCCCATGTCAACTTGGGTTTCCAACCCGACATACGACTTCCACGGCGTTTCCACTGCGTCGTATGCCACCCTATGAACTCAATAAAGTTCTTAGTCCGATTAGACAGGGATAGAAAAAAGCACTTACTTAAATTTCTACAACTTTACAAAATGTATTCAGAAATGAAAGATTGTTTAGCTTTATGGCTAACAAATCGCAGAGCAACAGACTTACAGAAATAGAAAACAAAACCTTTGAGGAATAAAACCAAAAAAAAATTAAAGGCTTAATGGAAGTTAAATTATTTCATTTGTTCGTTTGTTTCTGTTTCAAACATGATTTAATTTTCAATTTTATTTTCAAAGGTAGATATAATTTAAATGAAAGAAACTATTGAAAAACTAACAAAAACACATTTTTTATCATTTTATAGTCAAAAATAACCAAGAAAAATAAAATAATAATAAATAAACAATCATATTTTTATGTAAATCTATATAATCCTAAGACAACATGTTAAGAATATAATTTATACGTGTATACATGTACTACAATTAAACATTAAACATATCAAACAAAACCACATCAGTCATTTACATGCAAAACATTTTGATCTCTGTATAAACAAGGAGTGAGGAAGTCTCCTAAGTAAGTGCCTCGTACCATACAATTATTCAATACAATCATGTAAGCTTTTTATATAAATATATGTAATTTATCACAGATATTTGCTTATCACATTTGTTTTTATATGTATTTCAATTAGACTATGAATTGTAATATGTTCAAAGTGACACAGTCATACAGCAATATGGTCCCAAATTCGAGCATCGGTCCGAAAGAATCATGACAATAAATAAGTTATTAATCAACACAGTCTGTTTTTATCTCTTGTTCTTATACCGGAAAATGTACTTAACAAATAAGATACGCGTTTTCAATGAAAACCATTTGTTTAACTTTTCGCGAATTCACATGATTTTTTTCAAAATTCTAGAAACTTGTATATATATAATGCGTTGCTTCAAGACCTTCATTGGTTTGGACCTTGGCTTTCCACACCAAAGCCTGCGATAAACACGTTGGATACAATGATAAAGAGAACAAGAACACTTGAAGCACGGTCAAGCATATCGGCAAGCCATTTCTTCTTTTCCATTTTAGGACTTGTTGATTCTTGCAAGCACTCTTGTTGGTGATATTCCTCCAGCGTTTTCTCAATGGCACTTATTACAAGCATACAAATTGTGAATACCAACTGAAGTCCTATCGACATACAAATAAAGGTGAGCAGTAGGTAGTAATACTGGTTGTTTCCAGAGGCAACGAGGGCTTTTAGCTGAGAGACGTTCGCCATTAAGAGAGCAACGTCCATGAGCTTGTGAATGAAGTTCCGTTTCATGACGTAAGCATTTTGTGGTACATTTTTGTCTGGCTCATCCTGAAAGGAAATTGATAGTAACAACATTAGCAGTTTGTAATGGTGAATGAGCATTTTAAAATAGTATTATAACATATAATATAAACTTATATGTTGGGCATAAAGTGTAAACGTACTCGTATAGTAAGTATTATTTTTTTCTAGTGATATAAATCTACCAACAAAATAAAACTGTCACAATTGTAAAAAAAATACAGGGATAGTAGACGTTTGTTATTTAAGCTATAAAAAAAGCTGCTGGAAATTTGCCAAATTACTAAAACAGTTCACTTTGACAGCTGATGTTTGTCAAACTATTATTTGTTACATTTACGAAACAGTTTATTTGCTAATTTGATATTTTTTTGTATAATTCAGCCAACAAAAGCAAAATACATTAATTTTGTAGTTACCTTTAATTCCCCATCAAATTCGTCCTCCATCGCAACAATTGCTGATCGTTCATGTTTCCCGTCTCCCTGATCATCACCATAATTGTCTGTATCTGCCTTCAGTCCAAAATCTTTTATGTTTTCGTTCAGGGCAGAGTCTGAAAAAACAAGGTTGTTTTGGTGAGACATGGCCGTCTTTTTTTTTTTTTTTTTTAAATATGTTAACTTCAAATTTTATATCTGAAGCAGTTGATAACAAATCATTGTAACTTAATTTCTTTTTATTTGCATTTGACAGGTTTTTTTCAATTCCAAAAATAAACTCCATTCTACATTAAAGGTCACATTTTTAATTTCGGAAAATACTTGATAACTCAGAGTCATTAAACATTCAGACGACACAAATAATTAATAAAAGCCATTCACACTATATTTATAGACCAAGTTAATTTTTATTCGGTTTCTGGCGGGAAAATGTACCATTTTATATTCTATGACACAGCTACAAGATTGTCGGTACATGTTATATGCAAGAAGGGGTTTTAACAAATACCCTTGCCGCTTTTGTAAAAAAAGGTATTGCACGACCGTGCATACATTTTGCCGGGACGTCATTTTCGTTGTATAGATACCGTGTAAACACGCACTAAATGTTAGCGTTAATGAATAAGCGCGTCAATGAAAAACGATTCCGTTTCACTGTAAACAGTCTATGTTTTTGGTTTGTGATAAATGGAATATATATTTATGTAGATTCAATACTGAAATTATTAAACTAGCTTTTCAATTTTGGGCCATTTTTCACAATTAGAATAATAATTTTGAAAAAACAAACAAAAAAAAAAAAAAAACAGAAAAAAAACGAGAGAGCGAATGAGCTAAAAATTTGCACACAAGATATTGGTCAAGATTTACATCAAATAGAGCATTTATTTCAATAGATTATTTCCAATCCCGTCATTTTAAAAGACCTCAAGGGCGTTCCTTTAACATAAGAAGAGTAATAGTGACTATTATACTGATATCAGAAGGGTTTTAAGGAATACGAAAAGGCATTGGTCAATATAACGTCAGAAGGATTTAAGTAATAGAAAGAGCATCGAAACACAAGGCTATCTGATTTGGGCGTAGCCCCCGAGTGTTAATCAGATTGCCGAGTGTGTTGATGTTCTTTCTCTTTTGTATTATAGTCAAACATAAAAACACGTTCCCTGTTGTCATAATATGAAACCCCAGAAAAAAGTAACCAATGAACGAGCATCTGAATATGATATTTCTATCGATTTTTCTTTCTCTGCCGTCACAATAAGTCAACCCCAGCAAAATTGGGCCAATCAATGAACATGCTTTTGAGTGCGGGTAACAAATACCTGCACTCCAGTTAACGCATTGTGCATGTATATCTCTGACACATTTTCAACAGAAAGTTCCCTAAACTATGATACAAGCGATACATACTTTAGCAAGACAATAAGTTTTCTAGTGATAAATATAAGATAAGAAACTATTGTAGTACACTATAGTCTGGCCTTAATATATCAATTAAGTTATCGCAACGTTGCGTATTTTACGCTAACGCACTCAAAACCAGGATGTGGGTGTTAATTTGTGAATGATACAATAAAAACTTCGTCAGTACTTGAAATAAAATAGGACAATGTACTTTCAACATCATTTCGGATATTGTAACAAAATGGCGAATTGGAAAAAAATATATTTATTTTTACACCACGAACTTTGCACTTTCAGGATTTTGGGTGAGGAGCCGTGACTCAGTACTTCTATGAAATGCACGTGCTCTATATGTGAGATGCTTTTTGTATAATAATACTAATTGTTTACATTTTTAGGTATTTGATGTAATAATTGAAATTGTTTATTTCAAAATGCCTTTCAATTAAACATTTCAATTAACATTACTAAACTTTTATGCTATTCTTGACACAAATACAAAAATAAAATAAATACATAAATAAATAAATAAATAAATAAATAAATTATTATTATTATTATTATTATTATTATTATTATTATTATTAATATAATAGTAATAATAACAAGTTTACTATCTTGTTTGAAACATATTGACAATTTAAGTTAAACTTTTATATCAGTTATATTGAACAACAACAACAACAAGTATGCTTTCGTACTCTCTATGAAACGCACCCCAGATCTGGATATGTAAACATTTAAAGCTGTAAAACAACCCTATTTCCAGTCATTAAACAATGAAACCTTCTATTTAATATGCATATATATACATGTATATCTTAATTGAAGAATTTTCAGCACAACAAAAAAAATAATAATGAATGAAATAAAATAAAAACAAAAAATAGTAACAATCTGGCCAATGAAAAGAATAAAAAATTAAAGTACAAAAAAGTTGGCCCTCTGTTTGATTTTAACCCATACCCAATTCAAACTCAATATCATCACCGGAAATAAATAAGCCGCGTCATGACAAAACCAACATAATGGGTTTGCGACCAGCATGGATCCAGACCATCCTGCGGATCCATGCTGTTCGCTTACAAACCCTATAGCAAGTAGAGAAACTGATAGCGAACAGCATGGATCCTGATCAAACTGCGCGGATGCGCAGGCTGGTCTGGATCCATGCTGGTCGCAAACCCATTATGTTGGTTTTGTCGTGACGCGGCTCAAATACTCTTCTGCATATTACACGGTAGACATTGCATATATACTTCATTTGATATACTGGTTTACGTTAAATAGCTTGCATAAACATAAAACGATTTCATGAATGGAGGCGTGGCCGAGTGGTTAACGAGTCGGACTGGTAATCTTATGATCGTTAGCCGAATGGGTTCAAACCCTTCCAGTGGCAAATCGTTGTATCTTTTGGTAAGAAACTTTAACACTCATTGCTTAGTACTGTTTGGTTCCAGGATTCGAAAAAGTGTCTATAAGCTTATATAGCTTACTACACAATCGAACTTAAATGAATTCTATATAAACCAAAGTACGGGGAAAATGTGCAAAAGGAAAATGTGCAAAAAAAACATCAAAAAACAAAAACGAAAAACGAAAAAAACAAAAAACGTTTGGACAGTTACATGATCGGGCGTGTACATTAAGTTGCTGGTTCAGGCTGCCAATGACAAGTTTATCCCTTGTATGGCAACTTGTTTGTCGAACGTACGGACATTTTATGATAACTATGTAAACGTTTATTTACTGTCATTGTTCATTGTTCAGTCTATATAATAATACATCATTATAAATTGCAATTATTAAGTACATATTTTAATGATCTTTGAACCAAACCGGATAATGACGTATATCTATATGCGGAGGCGTTAAAATATGTTTAAGTGTTGTACCATATGATCCAATATCATTTAACGTTTCCTGTTTTAATTAACAATGCCGTTTGAGAGAAAACTTTCCAAATTTTCATATGAATATGAATAAACATAAAAAATATATAAAACGGATATATATCAAGAATTTCCCCAAGTCAAATTACTTATTATTGGAGGCCTTCTTGAATATAAAATTTTGCACTATATTTATGTTATCTTTGGTGGTTTGATGTATTGTCTTAATAAGCTACCTGCGTTAAATAAAGAGTCTATTACTATTATTATTATTTTCATAATTATTATTTTTGTATTATAATTATCATTATTATTAGTAGAAGTAGTATTAGTATTAGTATTATTATTATAAGTAGTAGTATTAGCATTAGTATTATTAGTATTAGAATTACTTCTACTACTAATTCTACTATTATTATTATTATTATTATTATTGTTGTTGTTGTTGTTGTTGTTGTTGTTGTTGTTGTTGTTGTTGCTGCTGCTGCTGCTGTTGCTGTTACTTTTATTGTTGTTGTTGTCTTTCTTGTTGTTGTTGCTGTTGTTGTAATTACCTGAACAGGCTTTTTGTGTATTTGATTAAATCCAAAAATGTTTTTGAAACAGTTTTCAATAATTAAAAACGCGTTAAGGTAGATTTGATATTGTTAAATGACCAGCTCATAAAGTTTTAAATTTACTTCTGAGTAAATTTCTTTAATATTGTTTTCGTCGGTTGTTGTACTCAAGTGCCCACTCGGGCCTGTAATAGTGCATTGAGGGGTACCTGAGTCCTTCCTCCACCAGTAAAACTGGGAAATTGCTGTGTTGGTGCGATGAAAAAAAAAGAAGTATTTACAAGGTGTGGTCTTGGACGTGGCTTTCTTCGGGAACACTCGCATATATATATATATATATATATATATATATATATATATATATATATATATATATATATATATATATATATATATATATATATATATATATATATATATATATATATATATATATATATATATATATATATATATATATATAGACAATATTTCAATTCAAAAACAAAATGTCTTTGATATTTATACTGTATATCTAAATGTAATTTTATAACGTTTAATTTTTGTGACGAGCAGCAAAAACTCTTTATTTTTGCAAACAAGCATTGACTGATGTTTGCGTTGATTATTTTTTGTAATATTTTGTAATAAATCATTTAGTATCAGAAAGGCAAATATGAATAATGTGTTTGACTGATAGTAATGTATGGTGTATATTTGCGTAATGACGAGGAAGTGTGATGTTCAATTCATATTGTATAATGAAATGTGTTCTGTTCTGTTCTGTTCTGATGAAAATGATAATGTATTTCACCAGACGGCTCTATGCATTGGAATATTTGTGTTAATAATTTGTGGTACATGTGATCAGAGATAATTAGAATGGTATGTAAACACATTTTGTTAATATAAGAAAGCATTCTCATTATTTTTTGCAGATAATTATTGTTTATTTAAGAAATAACAGGATCAGTGCTTCAAAAGCAGCAGGCGACAATATTGATGATGATGATGATGGTTATAATGATGATGTAGATGATGTAGATGATTATGATGATGAATATAATGATATTGGTGATGATGATAATAATAATGATGTTGGTGGTAGTGATGATGATGATAATGATGATGATGATAATGATGATAACTATGATAATAAGCATGATTATAATGAAGATGTAAAATACTTGAATGTTAGTTTGAATGTTAGTTTGAATGATGATGCCGAGAATAAAGACGAATTTTATGATGATGATGTTGATGATTATGATGATGATGATGATGATGATGATAACTAGTGTTTTTTTTCTTCGGAGATGGGGTGTGTGTGTGTTCTTGTTGTTGATATGTTGTTTTCCTTCTTTAAGTGTGCGTGATATTTTCTGTTAGGTGGGCTTACATGAAAATGAAATGAAATGAAATGAAAAGTAAAACTTTATATCTTATAACGATAAGGTGATGGCCTGTCCTAAGTTACACATTTTACCTATAAAGGCGCTGTTAATTTCTTCTAATTAACATCGTATATATGATTTCCACACTGGTACTGTAAACGCCTGAATTCATATTTTGTAACACTTGCTATGTGTCTATGTGTTAATATTGTTTTATAATTATGTTATATGTGTTAATAACTGGTCAAGCCCTTGAATTGATATTAGACACACCTTATTTTCTAAAGAAAAACAACTTTCCCTTAAATGTCCTGTAATTACAAAGGTTTCGTATTTTATAAAGAAACGGTCATATTTGCCGATGGAAACAAATTTCAAACTTGTGTAAAAACACGTGTGTGTCTAGTACGTGGTACTGTTGAATACGTAGCAATACGTGTGTGTGTCCATGCACGTGTTACTGTTGGATATGTAGCGATACGTGTGTGATATATTTAACCTTAAAAACGTATTCCATCTTTGCACATCATTTAGTATATAGATTGTTATAAGTAACTGTTCCTAATTTTTTAGGTACAACACCGTATACAGAAGAACGGCGTCAATAGGGCGGATTAGAAAAAAGTTTCGGATTGAAAAAACGGCCATGAACCCTTGTCAATATGGCGGATAACTACGATAAACTGATTTGGTCCTACATACCTTTGGGGGCAGGGGACCTAAAAATGAAAAATTTTGTATTTCAGTGTGACCAGAAACACAATTCCAAATATTTCAAAATCTGTTTCACAGGCAGATAACCAGTTGCACAGCATTATTCAATGATATATGACATACATTGAAGAAAATAATAGTTTGCATGCATTGCTCCTTCAAAAAATGACTGACAGCAATTTATATTTACCCCCACCCAGCCAAAATCACATCTAAAATATACCAATATGGGCAATCTTCATGAAGGTGCAGCATACTCCAGAATCCGCCAGATTCCTTTAAAAATATCAGTAACACGCAGTGCAAGCTATAGCATTTTCAGAAATGACAAATAAAGTGTCTGTCATACGTTTAGATTTTTCACAAAATTTATCTGAAATTTCTTACTTGTTTGGCGCCAACTGTCAAAGCTTGATTTTTAACTTTTTCACCTCCATTCGGAGAGTCAGAAATACATACAAAGCTACCAAAATGCTTAGTTTCGGGTAAAAACCCAAAAATATATCTCATTTCCTACACACAAACAAGAAAGAATTACAATGACAGAGAAATATCAGAAGTTATCAGTAACTTCAAAACACCATGTCTGAGTTATTAAAAAATTTGACCGGGGCCATCATACGAATATGTCCCCTGCCCCCTTAAGATTTTTTATGTGATCCGCATTAAAGCGTTTCCTTTTATTTTCTTAAAATATTGAGTATTTCGCATTAAACGTTAACTTCGAAAAGTGAATACTGCGGTTACTTTGTATTTAATCAAATATTTAAAAAAGACCCTATTTCAGGGGAAGTAACTAGTACAATGACCATGCCTGTTATATGATTTACTTAATATCAAGTGCCAGGAACCTGTGAGATGGTTATTTTTCTGTATTCCACCTTCATTTAAATACCATAAAGTATTTTCAGAGTATTTAAAGTCTTTTGGAAAGAGATTATAGCAAGAAAAACAATATTACAGCCACATTTAATGTCCCAAAATGAATTTTACAGGAAACCAGACCCCATTTATTCTGGCATACACCTGAAAGTGCAGTAAAGATACCACTGTTGACTTATATGACATTATATACATTTGTAACAATTAAAAGTGCTCAATTATGCATTATTATGTCAATTTGCACAATATAAAACTGTTAAATCTGGATAAATGTGCACATTCTGTGAAGTACAGTGTTTGCCAAAATTCCAAATTTTTATTACCTCCCTTGATTTTACAGTCTACTTACTCTACATAACTTGATAAATCCTACCAGTCACTTCAAATTTTGACTAACAAATGTAGAAGGAATGTTTATGGGCACATTTGGGTCAATTCCAACACATTTTATAAATTTGAAAATTTCCTTAAGGGGGCAGGGGACCTAAAAATGAAAAAATTTGTATTTCAGTGTGACCAGAAACACAATTCCAAATATTTCAAAATCTGTTTCACAGGCAGATAACCAGTTGCACAGCATTATTCAATGATATATGACATACATTGAAGAAAATAATAGTTTGCATGCATTGCTCCTTCAAAAAATGACTGACAGCAATTTATATTTACCCCCACCCAGCCAAAATCACATCTAAAATATACCAATATGGGCAATCTTCATGAAGGTGCAGCATACTCCAGAATCCGCCAGATTCCTTTAAAAATATCAGTAACACGCAGTGCAAGCTATAGCATTTTCAGAAATGACAAATAAAGTGTCTGTCATACGTTTAGATTTTTCACAAAATTTATCTGAAATTTCTTACTTGTTTGGCGCCAACTGTCAAAGCTTGATTTTTAACTTTTTCACGTCCATTCGGAGAGTCAGAAATACATACAAAGCTACCAAAATGCTTAGTTTCGGGTAAAAACCCAAAAATATATCTCATTTCCTACACACAAACAAGAAAGAATTACAATGACAGAGAAATATCAGAAGTTATCAGTACCTTCAAAACACCATGTCTGAGTTATTAAAAAATTTGACCGGGGCCATCATACGAATATGTCCCCTGCCCCCTTCCCAATGGGTTTGCGAATGATGCGGGTGTAAATAGGAAGTCGGCATAACATTTTGTCAGGTTTTGATAAAATGGCGGAAAAGAGTGTTGTAAGCAAATGAAACATGTCTATAATGTCTAGAAAACGCATCACTTTCAAAGTTGTAAAAGTTCGCAGATGATTGTTTGTTTGAAAAAATCTCGAGAAGGTTACAACCTATTGGTGATCGTCAGACCATAATGTGTAGCGTTATTTCGGAGCTGATTTTGATAAGACAACGCGAAAACATTTAATGGTTTGAGTACAGTCACGTGACTCACGTCTCGGATATACTTCCGTCGAACCATCACCATACGCGGGGCCACTCTGATTCAAAGGTTGTAACGTACACTGAAACTTGACATGTGCAGTGCATTGACTAGACCCAAAAAAAAGTTACCCGAACCCTGCCCAGGATCAACAAAAACAACAAACAAGCAAACAACAGTAACACGCACACAAGCACACACGTACATAGACACAAAACATAAGTACTCATACAGATAATTCACTTTATTCAGAGCCATAGTGCCGGGGACTTGTAACTAAATTCTTAATAAATATATTTATAATATAAAAGGCGGCCTATTTTAATGAAAACATATTTTTTAAGTTTAAATCCTGTCCGACGTCCCGTTACATTTATATATTTAGATTAAACTATCACAATAAGCAGTAAAAAATGGTAAATACGAGCTAAAGTAATAAAAACATACATATTTGTAAAGTTACTACCGTTGACCCATGTGAAATACCGAGAAACACGTGCAATTTTATTTCATGTTGAAATTAGCACGATTTTCACGCTGATAGCTTTGAGTTATACATTATATGTCTTTAAAAAGTCGACAGGATCTCTTATTTGTCAGTTCCGAAAAATTTCATTAATTTATTTGGTTCACGTTCTTTATTCAACTTTAATACAACCTAAACTATTGTTACTAAAATGTCATAGTATAAGAAAACAGAAATATGGTTAAATATAAAATTCTGACTTTAAACTGCATTTGTATTAGAAACTTCTTTCTGTCGGAAATGAAATACAGTTTCAACCTTACGGTCTCTGGAATCATGTCATATGAATACACAGTTGTGTATCCCTGTATCGTTGGCATTTAACGCATATTTTTAATTGGATTTCATTTGTGTCCTAATACTATGCCTTTGAACATTGGTAATATTTTTGAAAACTTTATAACACAAATGCGTCAGGTTCGATTAAATAAGTCAGCAATTATTGTAATGCTATTTATGGTGTGGACTATGTTATTGTCAGGAATAGGTAAAGTTGAGTATGGCATGAACAAAAGTGAAATGGCTGTATGCCTGCGTCTTTTTGAACAGGAATGGCGAAATGGTCCTATTGATGATACTGGTATAACGGATGACGCAAGTAATGGTGAACAAGAATATAGAAAATTACCAGAAATGTCTAAGGATAAACCGAAAAGAACGGATACTTCAAAAGATGTCCCGAAAAGCATAGACTGCTCTGTTTGTAATAATATGAAAGATAGTGAAAGGAAAGATAATTCAGATGAAATTAAGAAAACTGACAACAAACCGAAAGATACGCCTAAAGAGAAACAATCTAAAGAGACAAAAGCATCTGATAAAAAAGCGGACGTATCATTGAAAACCGAACATCAAGATAATCAGCAAAATGAGAAAAAGGAACAAAACAAAAAAGATATAAGTGACTTACCTAATATAAGATTAAATCCAAAAACAGCGAAATCGTTAAAGCCGAACGTGACGTCACACTTTAATAATATTCTTCATCGTACAATGCAAAAGCCATACCTTATTGAAAATCCCAAACTGTGTTCTTCTGTTAAAGGACTTAAAGTTCTTGTTATAGTGCATTCAGCAACGAAGCATTTCGAGAAAAGGTTAGTGATGCGGGAAACATGGACTAACAATTCGTACTATCCGAATTTAGGACCTATCCGAACAATGTTCCTATTGGGCCGTGCGCCAAACCCTTACGTTAAAGCGAACATTAATCAAGAATTCAAAAAGTACGGTGATATTCTACAGGGCGATTTTGTCGATTCCTACCACAACTTGACGTTGAAAGGCGTAACAGCCTATAAATGGGTGACAGAGAAGTGCAGGAACGCTCAAGTGATACTCAAAATAGATGATGACGTAATCATCAATATGTTTCATTTTCTCACCCAGACTGTGCCATTGATTGTATCGAAACCAAAACACATTGCATGCCGGCGTTCGGGGATGGCTCGAGTCAATCGGAACCCGAATAACAAGTGGTTCGTGGCAAAAGAGCTATTTGTTGGAGAAAAAACATACCCTGAATATTGTGAGGGATTTATGGTAGCGTTTTCAAATGATCTTTTACCCAGTTTATTCAAATCAGCTATGTTGACGCCATTTTTCTGGATAGATGACGTATACCTTTATGGACTTGTTCCCAGAAATATACCGGGAGTACATTATACCAATCTGACGTTTGAAAATGATGTTTTGTGGGGGATAGACAAAATAAAAGAGTGTTTAAAAAAGGAAACGAAATGCAATCATTTTGTGTTTTTATTATTGAAACATTCGTCACTTAAAGTAAGAAACATGTGGGCACTAGTTCTAAATCAGAAGACGAAACGAAATTAATCAACAGATTATCTCCTAATATAGGAATATAAACTGTATGCATAACAGTTGAATGGGCATTATTTTATTTAAATATATACAATGTATTTTATTTAAAAAAAAATACAATAACACATATTGATAACACTTTACGAATGCATAATACGAATAATATTAAAGTGTATAAAGCTGTATACCTGTTTCCAAAATCCTAAATTAATTTTGAAAAATAATACATTCAATATGTATCCTTAAAGGCCCATTATGCCTCAGAAATTAGTTTTTTTTATTCACAAAACCTTAAACAGTTAAATGTTCAGTATCTTGTTAAAGTTTCAAATTAATACTCATTTGTCATATAGATCAAATATCTTTGCTCCTTTTGGCAATTGTTGGCAATTTGTATAATTATAGTGAACAGAAGTCAAAATATTCTTCTTTGTTTACATTTTGATACTTTTACGACACATTACTGTGCATTCATAGATTATTTCTTTAGCTGTTAAACATCTTAAATGCTCTAGATTAATCCATTATAAAAACATTATTAAACACATGTTTGACTTTTCTACTAGAGAAGTTAATAAATATTAATTTTTAAGGCATAATGTGCTTTTAAAAGCGAATTGTCCATGCACAAAATTATTGCTGAATGGTTAAAACCCTACTTAAAAGGCAAGATAATATTTTGTTCTGGAAACTTTTACGTACACTATAAATGTGTGTTAAATAACAGTGACATTCTATGATACAACTCTTCATAGAACCAACCATAAGATTACCGAAACAGCATAATCTTTATAGAATATTACATTTATAATATATAGCTTTATACCCTTTAACGGTCGTTTTGAAAATATGTTACCTCCATAAACTTCAGTTATATCACGGCTGATTTTTTTTAATTACTAGTCGGAGAGCTGGGGTTATAAAAAGTGTTTTTACTCAATTCAAGGGAAGTAACTGCTGTATATATGCTTGCATTTATTTTGTAAAGGTTGCGCCCCTTTGATAAAAGAATTGACATGTTAGTTTTAAAATCATAATTTCTTATGTTTTTACTACTAAGGTATGGATTAAAATACGATGTAAATGTTTTTGACTATGTCACGTGATACTAGAGTTAATATATTATGTTAATTATAAGTTTGCGAAGTTAAATTACATATCTATCAAATGAAATTATATATTATTAAATTGTAGAATTTATTTACACCTTATCGTTTTGATATTTTCTCTTAAGGGTCTTTAAAAATTAACAGTTTATGTCGAGCAACATCGTTGCTTTCGTTATATTTCGACAGTCCCCGTTCATCTAATTTTAGAATGTTAATGTCGCTAGTGTGTTTTCCGTCTTAAGAAAATACCAGTATGGCGGATCACATATGCAAGTCAATCGCAACTTTTCGGACCTTTCCGTCAATCATCGGATAATAGCCGACGACGTTCCGATTGATATACATGCTCAAAAGAGATTGTGATCACGTGATACAGATCAAATGTTTACTGTAAAACGAATTATTTTTGCGTATTTTTATTTTTATTTTTTTAGTATGCTCCATAGTTGCCATTACCGCAGTCAGTGAGCCTAAAAATGAGCCATTGACTACCTTTGTTCCATCTAAATACATGTAGTACTCTTAGTGAAACCGCGTGTTTGTTCATTAAGATATACACGCAGTTTCACTTTTCCGGAAAAAAAATCATACAATTATTGTTACTCACCAGAATTAGCGGGTTCTACAATTCATCCAAAAACAATAATGAAAAGTAAGTCACGTGGTAAAGGAACCGTGACATTTAATTTATTAGATATTTAAAAAAAAATCTATAAATAAGTAAATAAATAAATGAATTAATGCACAACTAACAAACGTCTATTTTTATACACGTTCAATTTATTATATACTTATAAATGAAATATTGAGAAATATCAATTAAATAAAATGTGTATTTTCATTTTCCGTATTTTCACTGTAAAAATTTATTTTTCACTGCAGTGAAACATATTTTCTGTATTTTCACTGGTGTCTTGCCGGACTACTTTCTATTAAATTCTGCCAATACGCAAAATTTAAGGGAAATTCTTTCAAATTTTAACGTCAAAAAAGAAAAATGTATATAATAAACAGAAAATTCAAGTTTTTTTCTACAAATACATTATTTATTTCATCTTGTGGCATGAAAATTATCATATTTCACTCGTGGCTACCGCCACTCATGAAATATTTTTTTTCATACCACTCGATGAAAATAAATCATGTATTTATAGAAAATACTTGAACATCCTCTATATATTATCTAACTAAATAGCGTGCATAATAAGAATTGAGTAATTATAGAAATGTAAGAATTCTTCTGATATCAGCCAGAGATTTTTAATTTATGCGCGATTACGAAATTGTTTCGTGATACGAGCATAGTACATGCAACACCTTTTATCAGACAGTTAAATCATGTTTCGTTAAAAATCTATTTAGGACACATATTTTGCTCATTTTCTATTATTTAATGATACAATGGATTTCAGGAATTCGACGGTTAATTATTCCATGTTGTTGATTTTGTTACTGTGTAAAGCAGGTAATTTATTCAGAATCTGAGATGTGAATTTTGTATTATGTATTTTTATCTTTGACTTTTCTGAGCTCGGTGCAAGTGTACTTATCTGGCTAACGATTTTGCTAAAATGAGCTTGTAAGGAATTTCGGAAATAGCTTAGAAAATGTCGCCTGTGTAACAATGTATGCTGTATGGCTTGTTATTAAATAAAATCCATTCATTTAGAATAGTTTTCACAAAAATACCTACCTACATCGACTGAAGTTCCTTTTTTTAATTTTACACAAACCACATTTTTCAAATCGCTACTCTTGCCCTATGCGCTATAAGCGCTCGATAATTACATACTAAATAAAGTACTGGTAAACAAAGTTTGTTTTTAAAGGCATGAATTTGATGTAAAACCATTAATGCTTAAATAAAAACAATTTCATATTAGCGTAAAAGATATAAGTAAATCACTATTTCATTGTCACCACGTCTTCCATCGTGTCAAATGGGATGGGAATGGAAATGAGATTATATTAAACCTTCCCACTGTCAGGTCCATTTGATACTTTTATTTGCTATGGTATCATTTTGGCAAATTGATCCACTACAAATTTGATTTGCAATTGCATGAAGAGGAAAGTTTACAATCTGACTGCTCCCAACCTTTACCGAGGGTATAAAAGCAAAGAAGGCTAAGTCCCCGTTATTCCCCTATGACAGGGGTCATTGTTATAATTGCCGAGAAAAAACATACTTATAAATCATTAGAACACTTAGTTTTACAAATTCCACGCTTTATTTAAATTGTACGCTTTATTTCAAACGATTGGATAAATTAACACACTTTAATGCACAAAATATTACAATCGGAACATCTCGGTTATTATTCATGATTACTTTTTCGAATTGTGACGGAAACGACCGAGAAAATGCGAATGCAAATATATGTGTGATTTTTTTACAGACGACAGTGCATCACTTGGTAAAAGATTCGTAGAGGCTGCCATCTATACAGGTAAAATTTATCTATTTTGCTAACATTCTATTGTTCTGATAAAGAAAATACATTTGTTGAATTCAAACTTCGATGCCGTCACTTTGAAAAAAGCGCAGTAACTTGTTACAAATCGTTGATATTTCATAACTGCTTTTAATGATTGATATTTCATATATACACCAATATGGTTTCTAAAGGATGATATTTCATATATATGGCAATAACTGGTTTTTAATGGTAGGTATTTCATTTTTACAACAATAACTGGTTTCTAATGGTCGATATTTCATATATATGGCAATAACTGGTTTTTAATGGTCGGTATTTCATTTTTACAACAATAACTGGTTTCTAATGGTCGATATTTCATATATATGGCAATAACTGGTTTTTAATGGTCGGTATTTCATTTTTACAACAATAACTGGTTTCTAATGGTCGATATTTCATATATATGGCAATAACTGGTTTTTAATGGTCGGTATTTCATTTTTACAACAATAACTGGTTTCTAATGGTTGATATTTCATACATATGGCAATAACTGGTTTTTATTGGTCGGTATTTCATTGATACATGTACAACAATAACTGTTATTTCAATTATACAACTTGTTAATGAAATCTGTTAGAATGCACGAGGTATGTCTTCAAAAAAACTTATATTTTTGTACATTTTGAAGGCCCGTATCAATGGTCAACGTGGACCGATTGGTCTTCTTGTAACGCAACATGTTCGAACGCTGGCGGCATTGGACAAAGTGTTCGAACCCGTTACTGTGACGATGGAAGGTTCTATGTCAAAGTACATTTATGCCAAGGTCAATACGTGGGCAACGTCGGCACATTGGTATTTAGAAGAGATGCACAGAATTTGGAAAGGTCGGATGCATTTAACTTAAATGATGGCTTAACAGCATATGAAACGAAAACATGTCATGTGACGTGTACGCCGCACGGTAAATTTGCACGTGATTTACTCATATCTGAAATGTTTGATTGATTTGGTTCTAACTGGGTTTAAGATGGTCCAGATGTCAAGATTTTAAATAAGTTAAAGGGACTTCACACTGAGTTTTTTTTTTTTTTTGATACATGACTGGACTGAAAATAATTTTTAGACATTAATGTTTCATTTGATCTATAACTAGATCAATTATAACTCGTGTGCAAAATTTCAGCACATTAGCTCATTTGCTTCCAGAATATTTTAATATTCAAATTGTTAAAATGACCCAAAATTGAAAAGCGTTGCAAATCGGACAAAGAATAGACCAACATATGATTTTTAGTCTACTTCTTCAGACGTATGTAAGTTAATAATCTGCTGCATATCTTACTGTTTTAAGTGACCCTAGCTGATTTCTGTAAAAGTTTCGAATTTTATATTTGAATCCCAGTAGAGTTCCTTTAATAATCTTGACTAAAATTATGTAGGAACTATTTATATTTGTTCGACACTTTTTAACCATTTGATGTACCTTTGAAATAATAACTTGACAAGGAATTAATAACAGGAGGTAATGCATATGATAATATACATGTATATATATTTCAACTCTTTTAATAATCATTTTGTACAAGATATGTTTAATATTCATATTATGCTATAGATTTGATAATGATGTATTTTCCGATCTCAACATAGTATCAGTCAATATATGGAGCCCTTGGCAAACTTGGTCAACGTGCAGTGTAAGCTGTGGAATAGGTAAATGGTCAAGGTCACGGACCTGTAGCACCGGCATAGATTGCATAGGTGAACCTATCCAGTACGGTGCATGCTTTAAACAAAGTTGTCAAAAAGGTATGTTGAGATAAATAATTAAAAATCGATCCCATATATACGTATGACGTGTTTTCGACCAGTTTAACATGCACTATAGGTCCGAGCCTATATTGGCAGTCTTGCATGCTGATAAGATTATCCTAATAAGACAACAACATTTGACAGAGCATAGAGGTGGACACTCGCAGCATCAGAAATAGATTAATATATTATATAGATTATAGGTTTCAATGTTTAGTTCTCATTTGCATTAGAATGAATAAAGTTTAAAGGCCACTTTTTGCCTGAGATATGGTATCATTTTTATTTCTCCAAAATTGTTGAATTTTGGTGTCGTGTTACAGTTTCCAAAAACATACATAATTTCTATACACAAGACCTGTCTTCTGCATCTATAGTTATGTCGGCAATTGGTATAATTATCGTGAATAAGTATTTTGTATGAATTGCAAAATACTACTTCATTTATATTTTCCTACCTTTATTATTTGAACTGTATGTTAAGGGCTACTTTTTCAGTTGTAAAACATTATTTAAACATTATTACACACATGTTTGACATTTCTAAAGAAAAAAGGAATATGTATTTCTGAGACATGATGTGTCTTTAAGTTTTGTCTAGTGAATTTGTACATGTATCTCTAAATCTAACAGAGAGTCTAAAACATTGCACATATGTTGATAGCTACAGTATTAAATCAAAGCACAGAAGGCGCTGAATTTGTTTAGGTCTCAGAATGTCAGAAAGGTGAAGGTTGTGAGATTATAAAACAATTTGTTTTTGTATAGTGCCACCAATGCTTTCCAGCGTTTTAATTGTAGTAGATTGGCTATAAGACTAATTCCAACACTGATATTCAATCCAATGTTTATTTGACTTAAACAATTTAAAAAAAAAATGAGTTGCCGTAACTGGGATTTGAACTCCAGAGCTCTCGCTTCCTAAGCGAGCGTGCAAACCCCTCGGCCACGGTAACTTTATATGTTAACGGCCTGAAAAAAACATATTATTCTAAATTAGGGTTTGTAACGACGCTAACTGTTGTTTAACACTTGTGTAAATAATCATGGCGCTTACTATAAGCATGCATATCTATAAAGAATGAAACAATATTAGAAATCTTCGACCATTTGGGAATTATTTTGCTTGAAAATTAATGCGCCTGTCATGTGACCATATTTACGCAGTGATCTCCCCTGAATCTTTCGGCCTTAGTGTTACATATAAAGGAAAGTAACCGCTTCAAAAAAGCGGACTACTTTCGGCATTTGCAATTAACAGCATTAGAGTCTGAAATTTCGCTACCATTATCTGTTTGGTCTGACGACCCAAACAAATAAAACAGAATCACTTTCTTTGTATTTCATAAGAACATTTCAAAATAGGTTTATGTAATGTATAATGTATTTAATCTTATTCATTTGAATCAAATCGTTTAAAGATTTAGATGGCAGCTGGGGATCATGGTCGGACTTTGCAAACTGCTCACGCACGTGCGGAAACGGTGTTCAGCACAGGCACAGACAGTGTAATAATCCTGCTCCTCAAAATGGCGGACAAAATTGTACAGGAAGTGCCCAAGACTTCCGGGCATGCGCAACGTTCCCTTGTCCTATTGGTAACTTTTTCCGATAGATGATTTGAATGTTTCGTAAAATAAGCTGCTTGATGCTTTGTTGGATAATTAGTTATTCAAGTATGATAAATTATGTGTTGATATCTCATATATCACGGTTGCAATAACATCTGATAGTTTGATATTTGATTCAAAAATAGAATAGTTGCGTTTTGTTTCACTAGCTGTATCATTAATTTAAGACGGCGGATGGAGTAATTTTACCGACTTGGCATGCAGCGCCACCTGCGGAATAGGGATAATGACGTCAATACGATCATGTACAAACCCAACGCCGAGAAATGGCGGACAGGATTGCCCTGGTGAAGGATACAAATTATCCCAGTGCTATTTGAAGAACTGCTTAGGTATAAAGTTAGTATATATTTAAAAGTTAATAGCTCCCAGCAAGATCTTTAATTTTTTTGTCGATTTAATCTTATATTCAATTCTACAATTTCAAGACAAAGGTAATTACATACACATAACTGAACTATTATAACGGCACATGCATTGTACTTATGGCATGTACGTTAACATTGACGTATTGGTTTCTTTGATCATGTTTTTCTGCTTTACAAACGTCTTTAAAAAAAGAATTACAATTTACTGACTTCTAGGTAATAGTTATGATATATGAAACGAATTTATTACGAGGATATAACACTGGCTCGGGAGACACCCTGATTGACGTTTCTTCTAAAAAAAGATATGCCGAAGGCATTAGTGCGAGACGGTTTTTTTTTGCAGAAACATCCGAGATGTCACCAAGCCAGCCAGTGTTTATACCCGTAACTAACCAGTTTCATATATTTTAACTGTTTTATCGCAGTTTTACGATTTGTTGCGACAGAAATCAGCAATAAATTACTATGTTAGGTGTTTTTTCATCTCTTTCCATATCTTGTGCCCCTTCCTTCCTGTTTCAAAATTAACTTCATGTAAACCCTAGAAAAAATGAACCAACAGCACCTAATTAATCTATGTTTTTCGCTACTGCCCCGCCCCAAAAAATTATCGGACTAGAGGAGCAGATTTTTAGTATTGGGATAATAAACAATTACAGAGTTTCCGTAAAGTAGCTAGAAGACAATGACATCATCTCTCTATGTAATGAACATATATTGTAGTTGATCAGTGGTCCACGTGGTCTTCATGGAACGACTGCAGTGTGACATGCGCAAACGGAATGAAATCAAGAACGCGCACGTGTCTGTCTTCAAACGACTGTGTTGGAGAAAGCCACGAAACAGAAGCTTGTGTAAAGACGTCATGTCCGCACACAGTTGGTATTAGTTTTATAATTATTATCATCATCATTCTTCTCCGTCTTTTCATCATCATCATCATCATCATCATCGTCGTCGTCGTCATCATCATCATCATCATCATTAGTAGTAGTAGTAGTAGTAGTAGTAGTAGTAGTAGTAGTAGTAGTAGTAGTAGTAGTAGTAGTAGTAGTAGTAGTAGTAGAATCATCATCATCATCATCATCATCATCATCATCGACGTCGTCGTCGTCATCATCACCATCATCATTAGTAGTTGTAGTAGTAGTAGTAGTAGTATCATCATCATCATCATCATCACCACCACCACTACCATCTTTCTTACTACTATTATTATCATTGTCGTACATCGTCAATGTTGTTGTTGTTGCTGTTTAAAAGTAAAAATTATACAAGGTATGCAGTTTTAGGGAAATTCTTCTGTTACCCAATAGAAATATGAATGCATTTTAAATTAACTATTTTAATATCGCAAAAGTCATTATTGAACAAAATATCTGGAGATAAAAAACGACAAGAAAATAGGCAATAGATATTTGTACGGTGTTCGTTTTGGACAATCGATTTTTTATTTGGTCTGTACCCGCGATGCACGATGACACAATGGTGAAACGCGGATGGTACGGTGGTGAAAACGCGATGGTACGATGATGAAAACGAATGGTACGATTGTGAAATCGCGTTTTCACCATCGTACCATGGCGTTTTTACCATCGTACCATCGCACCATCGCGCCATCGTGTTTTCATCATCGTACCATCGCGTTTTCACTATCGTGCCATCGCGTTTTTACCATCGTACCATCGCGTTTTCACCACCGTACCATCGCGTTTTCACCATCGTACCATCGCGTTTTCACCATCGTGCCATCGCGTTTTCACCATCGTACCATCGCGATTTCATCATCGTGCCATCGTCTTCCGGTGGTCATGCGCAATGGTACATTTTTATTAACAATGTATGCCTTCTCATTATTTAACCCCGCACTTTTTCTATGTGCGCACTTTGAGATCTTAGTATTTAAAACATGAAAAATAACAAAAGGCAACCGCTCAAAAATTTAAAAAAAAAAAAAGTTGTCATCCTTGTCCAGTTTCAAGTTGATATCTTAAATACAGCAAGAAAAAAAATGCAAACTTACATTAAGCATATATAAGCATATATTATTTAAATAGTCTTTGATCTATATACAGTTTAATGACATAAATGGAAAATTTAATGTAAAGATAACAGGTTTTATTATTTATAACTCAAATTAGTTGCCGTATAAGAATCTGAAATGTTTCTGTATGTGTACTGGTCATACTGACCGAAAGGCGATGGTACGATGGCGCAATGGTGAAAACACAATGGCGCGATGGTACGATGTTGAACACGCGATGGTATGATGGTGAAAACGCGGTATAACATTGCATTTTAACCATCGTACCATCGTTTTTTCATCATCGTGTCATCGCGTTTTCACCATCGTACCATCGTGCTTCGCGGGTAGGGGCGAAATTCCAAATGGAACACCGTATATTTGGTATATTTTAAGACTTGTTCAAATGTTGAATTCTAGACGGCGGATGGAGCGAGTTTGTGAATATCTCGTGCAGCGTTACATGTGGGCGTGGCCAATTAGTTTCGCTGAGATACTGCAACAACCCCTCTCCACAAAATGGGGGTAAATATTGCGACGGAATAGCCCACAGAATATCGGAGTGCAATCTGCCATCTTGTGTAATAGGTATTTTTTGTACATTGATTTTAAAAGGAGTTTTTAAATGTATTGTAAAGCAAAAAGCCGATTTTCCAATTTTGGTTATGATAAACCTAATTAATCTCATTAACAACCTCATTTTTCATGATTCAAACTTGTAATATGCACAGAATCTTCTACATCCCCTCCCCCTAAAATAACATTTAGTGAATGATTTATGACAAAAAATATCATTAGCCCAATAATGTCGCATTGTTGATTGCGGTCCGGCGCAAATCCCTTGCTACAGGGAATAGAGGGATATTAAGTTTTTGATAATTATGCAAGACCGCATTTTAAAGAGACAGCTGAATGCCCTCATATTGCTGGTTATACGTACATACCCTGTTTCTGTGATGTGTAAAGAGCGTATTATTATTATAAAGATATATAAGCACGAGAACCTTAAGTTATGATATGCAAAGCATTTTGCGATATAATATTTTAGTATAACAGTACGTCCTTAAAAACCAGTATCAAACTAATACTGCCCTCACACATACCTCGCGACCTTACTGCGTCCTTACTGCGACCTTGCTACGACCCAGGACGCAGCACAGTCGCCATGGACGCAGCGAGGTCGTAGCGAGGAACCCAAGGACGCACAAGGTCGCAGACCGTCGGCGACTATTTTGAACATGCACAAAACAGTCGCAGAAACTCTGCGTTCTTGCTGAGTCCTGGTTAGGTCGCCGTGGGATCGCAGTGGAGTCGCCATAGACGCAGCAGCATCGTAGTAAGGACGCAATAAGAACGCAATAGACGTAGTACACTCGTACTAAGGACGCCGTAAGGTCAGACTCAGAATGAAATTTACCGGTAAAAAGTATTGTTTTTATAGACGTAGCAAGAACGTAGTAGGATCGTCGTACAGTCGCAGGACAGTCGTCGGACAAACGCAATAGTCGTCGTAGAGTCGCTGTAAGGACGCAGAGAACATAGCACAGTCGCAGCTGGGTCGCCGATGATCGCCATGGGGTCGCCTTGGGGACGCAATACAGTCGCAGTGGAAACGCCATGGACGTAGAAGGGTCGTATTGAGGACATAGAGAAAACGTACTGAACACAAGACTGCAGAGCCCCGGACCGTCTGCGAGAGAAATTTGAAAGAAAACCAACGATTTTCGAAAGAAAAATGCTATTTTACTAGTTTTCAGGTCGCAGTAAGGTCGTGGTTTATGTGTGAGGGCACCATAAGGAAATTACGGTTCAATGCCATTTAGAACATTGTCAAGTCACCGGCGAATTATGATCCTTAAAGCTACATGCATCCAGATTAGTCAAAATATTTCAATAAATCAAACGTGAGAAAAATGTACTAAGATGTAAGGAAAAGTAAAAAGATTCAAGTAATATTTTACATATTATGTGCGATGAATGACTAATTTTTCAGTATTTACAACTATATTTCTACTGCGTTACTACGCAGTAAAGGCTATTTATGCATAGTTTGACACATTTTGGGTAATTTACGTGTTTTTAAGTGCCATTGATAATGTGTAAAATGCTTCCGTTTGGTTACTTCACAATATTACACATTCAAATACATTTTCAAATTTTTCATGAAAATTAGCATGAATCTGGAGGCGTGCAGCTTTCACATGCCTCCGTAGTAGCACGAGGGATAGTGGAGGAAACACCCTGAGTCCTCACTTTCCATCTGTCCTCGCTTTGCTAGGTCATTGCAGTGAGTTTGTGTTAGTGACAGAAAAGCAGGGAATATAATAAAAACCTGCACTGTGTTCACGGTAACACGCATACTAAATAATGTGAATTCATGCGTAACGATTTAAATATTTGTTACCAGTATTTACTTTTTTTTTGCTTTTTGACTGTTTTGATTCAATATAATCTTTACCTACAGATGGTCAGTGGTCAAGGTGGTCAGAATATACTAAATGTGGTTCTATTTGTGGGGATGGCTACACTTTGCGGTATCGGACATGCTCGAGCCCAGCACCCCTGAATGGCGGGAAAAACTGCACGGGTATCTCCGAGGAGCGGCTTCAATGCAATAGTGGTCCATGTCAGACAGGAGCTTAAACGGAGACAACACATGAGTCACATGACTTTAATTTGTCGAAATTTTGTTGTGAAAAATGTTAAACTAGCTGACTTTTTTCACTAGTTGTTCATTAACTAGCTCCGTTGCCTTTAATGGCAGCCATATACGAAATACAGGTCCGATTTATTCGCCGTGATCCCGACTTTTTTAAAATTACATTCATAGCATCAGTCCCTTTAAAATATAAATATAAACATACAGCTCATATATTCATTTAAATACCTTGCATTACTTTCAACAGAACTGGCTGCGTATCAGTTTCCACAAAAACAAATCTTTAAACAATACTATAAAATATAAATGTAATTGCATTATACAGGTTATATGACCAAGTTTAAAAGGCTGGCTGCAAGCTGATATGACCCGAGCCGCTACCCGATGGTTATATTGCAAATATGTGTAACCGTTTCAACACGACCATATAACATATAAGAGATTTTTTACGACTTTACAATACAGTACGTAGACTTGATTAACAAATACTACATAATTTGACAGCAGCCGTTTATATTACTGGTGTATTTAAATGCTAAGCCTATTTTGCAATCTTTAAGCATGTATTTTTTTTTAAAATGATTGCTCGGTCTAGTAAAATAAATCATAGTAAATTAATAATATTAATAATAGATTTTATGAATGCATTAATATAAATTATGATCAAACATTACAATTTATCATAATTTATTTTAAAAATTAGTTAAACACAGTTAGATATTTGATTTAATTGGACTTGTTGGCAGCAGTGGTCTGTACTGAAAGAAGCTGCCTCTCATCCCTGGAATCATAGGTTTGAACCCTGCTCAGTGGGATCACGGCCATGTGTCTTCGTTTGACACAGGTTCTTTAAATTCCAGGAAGCGTTCTCGGAAGTGAGTCCATAAACGTGTGTTTTTTCAGTCGAGTTTAAATACTAAGTATCTTTCAACTTAATTTTTCAAACTAAACGTGTCCACATTATTTAAGGTCAACCAAGCTCATGCTTTTGATACAGTGATAAACTGACCTGCTGACGTCACTCGGTCAGTATTTAATCTCTAAGCAAATATTATTCACTTCAATTACATGTATAAACACATCGGCCAAGCCTGGTTAATGTCCCTTACTCTTTGCACAATCATGAAAGCCCCATCACGACCTACAAGTTCGTTTGTCATAATTTTATCACTCATTAGAGTAAGGATTCAACATGACTGCAACGCTGAAACAGTGTTTGCGCATACTAATCAAAGCGCTAAAAGTACATAAAATACGCGAAGCAGTAGTGATATGAGGGGTCGTGTGCAAGTCCCTCAAACTGCACGCACAGGGTACGCTACTTCACATCTAACACATTACAGTCTTGAAACATTAGCAGAACCGAGTTTACTTTATAATATAAATATCAAAACTGAAACAAAAATTCATACCGTTAAAAATCTTGACGAAAATGTTGTGATGGAAGAGATCTAATCCTGTAAGGGGAGGTCACTGCGTGTGAGATTACGAGGTCCCTTCAAAGAGGGATAAGGGTGAATAAAACCTTCATTGTTCAAATACTGACAACTTTTGTTTCTATAATTGATACTAGAAATGAATTGAATTGCGATTATTTGATGTTAGATGTTCTTTGAACGCAAACGCGCTTATCATTTGCCTCGTGAAAGCAGCTGAATAACCGCAAAGTTTTGGCGATAAATACTGAGGGCTTCCGGTTGAATGCAAAGGGAAGTGCCTCGTTCTAGACTGTACATAGGTTGTCGCATATTTTGCTGCATCCTTTTTATAATGCTCGAATATTCTTATAACAACACATGTAACTTATATATTCTATATAATAGTTTCAAGTATAATGAAATACATAAAACAATTAGATTAAAGCCCAGTACAAAAGACCGATTGAAACATTTAAACTTAATGAATAGATTAACACTGATAAACACAAGTTAAAATGGTTACGAATTCAACTTGATGAATTCAAAACGTCAACGTTAAAACAAAAATTGAATTCATGATCTCATGAATTCAACGTCATGAATTCGCGGTTTTCTCATCACTTCCTATTTTCAACTCAGACTTCAGACTTCCCTTCCATGTTTTCAAGATTCTTTTCTTCTTTTTTTTCGCTTTTTTTGTTTCGGTCCGCTTTAATACAGGACCGGTTTCAAATTAACTTCAATATAATTATGTATAGATTAAAATTAAGTTACTACATTCTGTTATCTTAAAATTCCCGTTTTTGACTCTTTCTAACACTAGATTAGATGTCATGCCTTGTCCTTAAACTGTTACATGTTCATTATCATAATACAGGTCAAGTTGAATGACTTTTCGATTAACCGGTACCAGAGTCAGCATTTCTGTTTGTTATTCATAAAATGTACAATCTATTGACTTACTAATTTGCATATACATGTACAATGTATTCTGAAAATCCACTGTGAAGAAAGAGAGTACGAAAATTTTACAATATCAGTTTAAAATAATGACAATATTTTCAAAATAGATTTAAAAAATATCTAAATACACAATCGTAAACATCTCTGTGATGTTTTTAAGAAAGGGTATAACATATACATTAGGGTGGTTATAGACCAATTGTAGATCAGGTCACTAGATTCCTTATCCAAAAGTCGTGAGCATGATCACAACTAAGACGAAAGTCTTTTTTTCAAGGTCGACAATCCACACTAGCTTGAAAACTGGCTATATATGGGCATGTGGTGCAAGATAGGGCCGCGATATGCTAAGCCCCCCCCCCCCCCCCCCCCCAAGACACGCTTGGCTTGAATAAAAAAATAATTAAGGTAATTAAAAAAGCAGACCTTGAAATTATAACATCACATTTCTTAGTTAACACAAGTACTTAAATTGAATGTAGATAGTCTAATGTAAATATTATATAATTTTTTAAAATTTTAAACTTTTAACTGCTCGGTTTAATCAAGTAAGCATAGCAGATATACGAATAAATTCAAAAACACATCGATTATTGTGATCCTCACCTAAAAATAATTTCAAAGTACCCGAGTGGTTGTTGTTTGGTAGTTGTTTTTTTTTTTGGTAAAATTATTGAGTGAACCAATGACAACGTATTTAACACCGATATCTCCTATGGGTCAGCTGTTTTCTACTTATCAACTTCAGAATCAATAGGGAAAAGGTAAGTTTTATCTGTGTAGAACTTGCTATTTACCTTTCTGTGTGTATGTCAAAATTAAATACAACTTTTGTTTCTACATTTATGGCAAATTTTGTACATGTATTACATTCACCACTACTTACTTCCGGTGATAAGTACAATTATCAGATATGTTTAATATCCATTAAAGATCCTGTTACACAATTTTTATGGTTTTAAATCATAAATATGATGCTCAAATTAAGAATTATCAATATTGTAGGTTCCAAAAAGCATTATTAAAAAAAATTATAAAGATATTACCGAATTAAACATTTCATGTAAATAAAGACAGGAAATACAAAAAAATATTTTCTATAAAGTTTGAGTCAATTTTTGCAGTAAGAAATGAATGCATATAGTTAAATGGTTACATATAATATGCACAAATATTTGCAGTACATATTTTACAAATTCTTAAATGTTTAAAAATTATTTTATTTGCATATTTATGTACATATATATAATTTCACTTGGTGTGGTTTACCACTTTGATCACAACATACAGATCTTAAATAAAACATTATTATATAAAACATTATTTAGCACGTGTTTGCAATTGTTTGTCCCTTCCCAAGAAAAAAACTGATATTCGTTTATGAGTTTTTAACAAGAAGAGACTTGTTACTAAATATATTTTATTGATACTCTCTTTAATTTAATTAGCTCTATAAAAAAAAGCGCTCGAATGTGATGCAATGAACCATTCTAGAGTTCATTTCCTGGAACTAAACAAAAATACTGGTGTCCTGTGAGGAAACTTGGTTGTGACCAGGAAGGATCGAGGCAATGACCCCTTTGCTAAGAGGCAGTATCTGTTTTAACAGTCCATTTCCGAAATTAAGATAATTTATTGAATCTACAAAGAAATGAATTATCGTCCCATTTCTTCGTTCAAGGCCATGCCTTATGTCTTCGGGTCGGAAATAATAGTGTCCGAAGGGCAGACTAAGGATGCAAAAACAATTTCAGCCAACAGGACATTGATCTAAATGTTTGACACGGTCAAGTTGACTTTCGGCCCTTTGACCGTTTACTTCACGATGTTTACCTATGGACGCAGTACGGTGGTGCATAAGGGCCATCATTGATTAACGCGATAAAACGATTCAGCTTTAATACACTACGATAGAAAGCAATATCGATATCGCTCTTCTGCTATATCTTACCGTTTGTTATCGTCTCATCGTGTCCTTTTTTGGTTACATTCATGGTATAAACATTAGTGAGTAAGAAGATACAAAACCGGAGATATGACATAATTATTTGAAAAGGCTATATATTTTCGGCCCTTTCCGTCAGTCTTCGGATAAGGACCTCGGACACAATAGTATGAATACACAAAATGGATACGGTATTTCGGTTTAACCTACACTAAGAAACTAAACATATAAACAAATAGTAATTTAATGCTCGGAGTTGTTGACAAGTTTATGTCCGATATATCAAGTCCACATACATTAAGTGAATTCATAGATACAAAAGCAAACAAAACATTATTTATATATTTATTGGTTTGGTTGTAGAAACCGGAAGTACAAAATGCAAACCTGTTGACATTAAGTTGGATTTGTTTGAAATTGTACATCAGTGGGCTTTTTTAGTTAAAAAGTGTTGTTAGATCAATCATAATTGTACCGAAACATACTTTTTTCCTTTGCATGTCAAATATATACATTCGATCGTTTTATATGGCAAACTCTGTTTCTGTTAACATCTATAACCACGTGGTAGAACTACTTTCAATCCGTATTGTTTCCGAGGTTTTTATAGATAATAGCCAAGGACGTTCCGATTGTGTATTTATATCGAACATTTGCATTCAATCTATTCAAACGCTATTTCGCACGGTCTTTTTGCGTCATCGCCCATTCAAGCAGTGACAGTTAAATGTAAATTAATAAAATTAACTTGACCTTCTAGCGTTTTGGGCCTAATTTTCGTAATGCCCTGTCATCTTTACATACCTTATTATCTTTCCACCGTATTTTCGTATCGCCTGATTGTACTGTACTTGTAGGATAATTATTTTGTGACGCGGCGGTCAAATCTTATAATCTTATCGTAAAATCGTACCGACTTATCGTATTTTTTATCATTCTTTCGTTTCGTTCTATCGTACTTTTGTACCGCCTTCACATAAATTATCTTCATCATATCGTCGTCTTATTCGTACTTTCATATTGCCATGTCGTACATTTGCATTGTATTATCGTACAGTCGTATCGCCTTATTGTACAATCGTTTCGTCTAATCGTACTTTTGTATCTAATTGCCAGTTACCACACTTTCGCATAGCCTTATCAATTTTTTGTATAATTTTATTGTAAATTGTCGCGTTGGCCAAATGTTTGGCGAAATAACGATTTTCTTTACAGGACACCGTAGCTCTGAGTTAAGATAGTATGACGTCACCATCATACCTGGTCCGAGCGTATAGCCACGAATTGACCTCTAAGAAGGGGGTCATTATTTGTATGTTCATGGAGATAAAGATATTTACCGCCCCGGGCCCCGACCAACCTTGCACTGGATGAAGGACATGTCCCTTCACCGGTGGAGACATTTTTCAAAACAACCTAACATATATAAAGGTCCTTAACGATCTGATTTTCAGTCAGAACATTTCACGTTTTTGATTTGAATACATTGCAAATGCTTTGCTTATTTGACCATTATAAGAAAGAACTGGTACAACAAAAGTACGGTGATGAATCGGCCAGGATTTGCAATTATTTTGACAGCGGTTCTAACTGTATTCTTCTTTCAAGGTAGGAAAATTTTTAACAATTTTTACCGTTATTACAACAAGGGAGAAAAATAGTACAACTACTATCATTACAATTTGGAATTAGTTGTCTCCCTTTATGTAAAAAAAACTAACTGCTTGTTTGAACTTCTAGATAGTGGAAGGGAAAAAAGAGTTTGCTCTATATTCTGTACTTAACCTTTTGAAAATTTGCAAAAAATTGTCTTCTGAATATTTACAAAGAATTGCATGATTTTGAAAAGTTTCGAAGTTGCCTGTTTAGCATTAAATAACGTTGAAACACAATCAGTGAATGTAAATGTATTAAAAATTTACAGCCGCGAACCTTCTACATGTATGATATTGCTATTAGTTTTTGCTTTAATGTGATGTACCAAATTAGGGCAAGTATGAAAATAATTTTGCATGATTTTAATTTTCTTCATTTTAGAGCTGAATGCCGCTCGCATTAGGAGGTTTTTGAATGACCAGTTACAAAGTTCACAAGCAATTGATACAGGTAAATGTCTTCCTGAAAGAATACTTGTACCTAAGTAAAGCCTATTTAATACATATTTTGTGAGTTTCTTTAGTATTCGAAGAAAATTTAAAAAGCATCGAGGATATGAATCATGAAATGTGTCGTTTCATCTACAGTTATACCTCTTCTAAGCAACACCCTCTGCGACACGGCGATTTAGGTCGTTTTGTAGTGTTTTTTGTTGCGCTAGAGGGGTTGAATTTTTTTTTTTTTTTTTTTGTAAATTTACTTTTGGATAAAAAGGGTTCTTTTTTAAAAGAGGTAATTGATCTACAAAGGGTCGTTCTATAGAAGTTGTAGTATACTTGTTATGTAGGTAGTCATTCATTAGTTATTCATTTACTTAATAGTCTTTTGTATAGGCCTTAATGAGTAAAGCTTAGGACAGTGTTAAATGTCTTTTCTCCATATTTCTATAATCTATGATGACACGGCGTAAGCTTTAAATTGTATTCTTAAAAATTAATCCAAAACGATTGAAATTATTATTCATCAGTAGTTTTTTTTTTCCAAACAAGTACAAACATTTACAATTTACAACATACAACACGTGAAATGAATTAAAACGGATCAGAACCGAAAGCTGATTCTTATATAGGTCTTATTCTAGTATTTATTTGCTAAAATTTGGCAGCGTGTATATGTAGGTACATGGATATGTTTGAAAGTACAATGAATACTCATATGTTTTTTTATATTGAACATTACAGTATTGTTATTTAAGGACCGTACTCTTGGTCATCGTGGTCAGGGTGGTCACACTGCAATGGCACGTGCAAAGTAAATAGAGGAGTAGGTCAGCAGAACCGGAAGCGACATTGTAATGACGACGACGATTTAGTCAAGTTACATTTTTGTCGCGAGCCGTTCACAGGTGATTCCGGCGACGAGCAGACGTCCATTGTAAGAAATGCTTACGACAATGCTGAGATTATTTTAGAAGACGGTGTTTCCTCGGGAACAGATAACTATGAATTTGAGTATCGCACATGCCAGAAAGAGAACTGCCCAGGTTAGTTGTCCATGATTGTTTTTTTTTCTTTACAAGACTTTATCAAGTCCATACAGCTACAAGTCATCGATTGTAAAATGAAAATTGAATTTTGACACATTGGACGGATCCGATGAGATGATTTTGATGGTTCGTATGGCTTACAAAATTGTTAATTGGTATGGCAGTTTCAGTTAGAGTAATTTGTTTTGTAATAAAACATATATCAAAGAACAAATTACCATAAATATATGTCAAGAATGTCGACATAATTATGTATAAATAGTTTTCTGGTATTTTTTATCAAACAAATCTTAATTAACATATAGGACCAACTGTCATTTCAGTGAACGGCGGCTGGTCACAATGGACTAATTTTGGAGCATGTTCAGTAACTTCCGGAACTGGTCACAGAACACGGTCCAGACAGTGTAATAACCCAACTCCGGTACACGGTGGACACGACTGTGTTGGGGCTTCTTCGGAATCAGCGTCATGTTCAGGTATTGATCAATTCTGTGCTACTCTCAATCTGTAAACAATCAAAGTTGTATATTGCAGTCACCAAATAACAAATATACAACGTTTCTTATGTAGAAACAACTTTCTCATGCAAAAACAACTTTCTCGTGCAAAAACAACTTTCTCATGCAAAAACAGATTTTAAGCAAGTAAATGAAATGGATGTGGTTCTTCTTTTCTTAACTTTATTGTCTTTGCTGATAACATTATTTAAGATAAGGTTTTTTTTTCATTTCCACGAGCCTTCATGGATATTGTTAATTCTTTTTAATCAGTTTGCCTTTTTATTCTTTTTTTCGTTTGTCCCATGGAAATTCAATACATTGATAAAGTCTTTTTTAAATACAAATTGCAGTAAACACATGGAGCGGTTGGAATAACTGGGAATCATGTAGCGTCACTTGCGGTAGTGGGATGAGGGTACGATCACGGCACTGTACATCCGGCTCGGACTGCATCGGTAGTACATATGATGTCGAAACCTGCACAGAAGATCAGTAAGTATAGTAGACTCTACATTGTTTTAAATGATGTAAAAAACGTGACAATTATATACCGGAATGTTTAAACAGTCGGTCTTGAAATGGAATCATCAAACACATTTAGTGACATATCTTTGCATGCTTCTTTTTTAAATTCATTAAAAGCGTGTTCAATGTTATACACCTCTACAGGTATTTTAAGTCATTTTGTTAAGAAATAAATGCAACTGAATATCATAATGTGGCCATAGATCAATAATCACTACAAATTACAAACTTTTTATATAATATCAATTTCAAATATTTAAAGATCCTGTATGTCGTGATTAAAGTGGTTAACCACACTATTTGAAATTATATATATGTACATAATTATGCTATATAATATCAAATATTTAAAGATCCTGTATGTTTTTATTAAAGTGGTTAACCACACTAAGTGAATTTATATATACATGTATGTACATCATTATGCTTATAATACAATTTTCAAACATCGAAGAATATGTAAAATATGCACTGCAAATATTTGTACATATGTACTTTGTATTTGTATTTATATTGTATACATATGTATATGTATTTGTACTATATGTAATCATTAAATTTATGCATTTATATCTTATTGAAAAATTTGACTTAAAATAATGATTTTTTTATTACCTCTCTTTATTTATATGAAATGTTAAATTGAAACATAAACCTATAGCGTACAATGAAATTCCGTGGTATACCACGGTTTATACCGTGGTTTTTAGGAAAAAAACGTGGTATACCGTGGTATTTTCTTTCTGGCGATACCCAACTTTAAGGTTATATCTTTGTAAATAATGCTTTTTGGAACTTACAATATTGATTAATCTTATGTGAGCATCATATTTATGAAATGAAACCATAAAAATGTGTTACAGGGTCTTTAAGAGACCAACATGATAAGACTATTATTATGATTTTCTAAGATGGCGGATGGAGTGCTTGGACCGAGTTTGGAGAATGTTCGCGCAGTTGCGGAACTGGCGTTGTATTCAGAAGGAGGCTATGTAACAATCCAAGTCCTCAAAATGGCGGCGTAAATTGTACTGGAAATGCCCAAAAATTTAAGGCATGTTTGAAAACCGAATGCCCGATCGGTAAGTCAATACTCTTTTGAATAGTAGAAAACTGGTTTTAGAATTGCAAAGATATTTTTTCTATTTGTTAAAGTCCGTATTGTCCAGGTATCGCTTCACTTTTTAAGCAAAAAAATGAGATATAGATAAAAAAAATTCACCCAAATATTAACATACTTAACGTCTCACTTTAGAAAGAAATATGTTTAAAATGCGATATTAATACTGTATAACATTATATAAATTACATGTACACATGTATATATTGCATTATTAGATGGTGGATGGAGTAACTACCAGGATATGCCATGTAGCGCCACCTGTGGTGTTGGAGTGAAGACGTCATTCCGGACATGTACGAACCCAGCTCCTAAATATGGCGGGAAAAACTGCACAGGAGAAGCCTACTCATTCAAGCATTGTAATCTTAGGAATTGCATTGGTATGTTACGTGTTCATATTTCTGATTGACATATACATGTATATAATAATTTATTTATAAACAAATATCTGATTTTCATAATTATGATTGTTTCTTACATTAAAATTTATATAAATTATATTAAGGAAGTTATCTGGCATGTTCAGGGTCATTTATTTTTTGTTTGCCCTCAAATATGGAGCATAAGGAGGGAAGATATCAAAGGTTTTTTACACCACCTGGCAATGGTGAGTCGGGAACGCCATATGGCACAAAACGTGTAAACAAACTCGAAATACGAAGAGAAACAGATTAGCGCGAAAAGCTCGATTTCCAAATGTGTTACTTAATTTATAGCTTTTCTTGACAGTAAACACGTGGTCTGATTGGTCGGAATGGAGCCCGTGTAATGCCACGTGCAATAACGGAAGTAGATCGAGAACGAGGTCCTGCCTGTCGGAAAACGACTGCATTGGAGAATCAAACCAGAGCGAGGCGTGTAATTTACAGCCTTGTCCAATAGGTAGGTTTTTGGTTTGTACAAAAGACAGATTGGGACATTTCAACTTTATAAATTCCCGATTTCATCTTTTCACTATTTCAACTTCAAGAATTAACGATTTTGACTTCACGAATTCAAGATTCAACATGATTTCAACATCGCCAATTCACGATTTCAATTTTATGAATTCACGATTTCAATTTTGCGAATTTACGATTTCAACTTCAAATTGAAATGGTTAATTTGTGAAGTTGAAATCGTTGAATTCGTGAAGTTGAAATCGTGAATTCATGAAGTTGAAATAATGTCTCCATTTTTGTTAAGCGAGCTGTAATGGAAGGTCCCTAGACATCCCCATGGTCTTAACGTTGTTAAAAAGTCTGAGTGACCTTGAACGACCTTGACAAGCGTTAAAAAGATTAAAAGGTTTAAGATGGCCGGAAATATTATCGTGCGTACTTGTCAAGATTCACATGTTGTCACATTTGTTTCAATATAAAACGTATTAATGTTTGAATTTAATTAAGAAAATACTTTTATTGTTCATGTTGTGTTGTTTTGCTTGAAGTTAATTTTGGCATTAAGGTAGTATCCTAAAATATATTCTTAAAATAAAATAAAAGAAAATTAAACAATAGGTTTTAGTTTCTAATTCAAAGCTATAAAACATATTTTTGTCTCTATGCTTTAGAATGTTCCACTATAACTGTTTTCAGACGGTGGGTGGAGCAATTTCCGTAACGTTTCATGCAGCGTAACATGTGGGCATGGTCAAGCAATAGCTCTAAGAGAGTGTAATAATCCCGCCCCTCAGTTTGGAGGCAAAGACTGTGTCGGACTCTCACATCAGATAACCGTTTGTGAAATGCCATCTTGCGCTGTTGGTATGTAATATATTCCTAGTATTTGTTCATATGCCGGTAAATTATTTCTATATTGTTTATAAGTCATTAACTAATCGAACATTTGCTTAATGTTATGCAGCAATAATTAGCTCGTGCTCTTCGAAATAAAGTGTGATCCTTCGGTCAAATCTTTCGTGTATTTCCGGCAAACTCCGCAACCTTACGCCCGTGAAAGTCGTCCATATTCTTCCTCATTCAGTGCGTGCTATAGAAAAACAAATCAGATTTTTTTTATTAATCATTTATACTGCAAATATGAAAAAAATGTTCTGTTAACTATCAGCTTTAAAAAAACACTAAAAAAGAAACTTAAGATTGCGGAGTTTGCAGGAAATACACGAAAGATTTGATCAAGTATCACACTTTATGTCCGTCAACGGCATAAAGCCAGTCATAGACATATGGTATTAAAAAGAGATACTTTGGCACACACTGAAAAAAAGATAACATACAAATTAGACTTTTACATATCCACAGACGGTGGTTGGTCAGAATGGTCAAATTTCAGCCGGTGCGGATCAGTGTGCGGGGATGGGTACACAACCAGAAAGAGGACATGTTCGAATCCAGCACCGCAGAATGGAGGCAACAATTGTGTGGGAAATCATGAGGAGAGATCCAAATGCAATAGTGGACCGTGTTCTGATGGTGAGTGTTGATTGAACAATATTAAGATTAGTGTTTGAAGTTATTTCCTATCCTAAAGGATTTCAGTATTTCAAATGAATCGGTTACTTACTTCTCAGTTTAGACTGTTTATTTACCGTTCTTGGCCAATTAAACTTTGTAAATCTCGTATATATAGAGACTCCTATGGTGGCTGATTTGGATCACATTGTGCGTCGTAACGCGCAAAGTGTTCCAAATCTGCTACCATATACGCCTGTTTTCTTTATATTTTTTTAATGCATATGTATTTTCAATTTAATTACCGCACAATATTTCTCACAGTTAAGATTTGGGAAAAACACTACAAGTATATAAAGCTAGTGGTCATGTATATACTGAACTGTCTATGCATTGAGTTATAAATGAGTTATAAATAAACTAATAATTATTTTCCACTGATGAATGGTCTGTCATGAAAATTTTCCTTTAAACTTTATCACTTTAAAATGACCGCACTGACACATATTTCTATATGCGCAAAAGATATTACCAATTTTTTTACTTTCTAAATGTTTCATATGAAATTCATTTAATAAAATTAACTTTTGGTTCCACCATTTTATTTATTTTACTGAATTATAAGGGAGACAAATGCGCAAATCAGTATGTATGCATGCATTACCGAGTTGTTTCCCTTACAACGTCATATATTAAAAATAAAATTAACGTTGATTTTGTTTCTTATAATAGAATAGAAGGGAAAGGTCATATAAATGCAGCATAAACAATGTGATCTAGTGGACTATCTTTGTCTTGTATGATATTGGCAGTGATCCCCATATGTAAAAGGTTATACAAGATAGAACTGTTCAAATAAAACAGTTAATACATTGACATATGAGCCGTGTCATGACAAAACTAACATAATGAGTTTGCGACCAGCATGGATCCAGACCAGCCTGCGCATCCGCGCAGTCTGATCAGGATCCATGCTGTTTGCTATCAGTTTCTCTACTTGTAATAGAGTTGGTAAGTGAACAGCATGGATCCTGATCAGACTGCTCAGATGCGCAGGCTGGTCTGGATCCATGCTGGTCGCAAACCCATTATTTTGGTTTTGTCATGACGGGGCTCATATATTACTGATGCGTCTGTGCGCATACATGTAAAGTTGTGGTAATAAAGGCAAATATGATATTCCAATTTCTTTAAATAATATTCCAAGTAAAACTCGCGCTAAAAATGGTGGATTACGTGCTGAAATACACCGGAAGTACTCATATCATCCTATACATAAGCAAAACTAAAAAAAATCAAAAGCAAAGAAACAAACAAAAAGAAGAAAGAAAGAAAGAAAGAATGAAAGAAAGAAAGAAAGAAAGAAAGAAAGAATGAAAGAAAGAAAGAACGAAAGAAACAACGAAAGAAAGAAAGAAAGAAAGAAAAAGACAGAACGATAGAAAGAATGAAAGACAGACAGACAGACGGACGGACGGACGGACGGACGGACGGACGGATAGATAGATAGATAGATAGATAGATAGATAGATAGATAGATAGATAGATAGATGGATAGATGGATAGATAGATAGATAGATAGATAGATAGATAGATAGATAGATAGATAGATAGATAGATAGATAGATAGAAAAGAAAGAAAGATAAAAAAGAAAGAAAGAAAGATTATTTTGTTTGAATTTCTTAAGATTGGCTTAAAATCTTTTTACATTTCTCTTTTAGATATGCCAATATGCAACAAGGTCAACGTTCTTGAGGATTTGAAAAATCATGCACTATATGCACCAACGAGGGCTGGTCCGTGTAGTAATATGGACTTTATACCAGAGGAAAATATGATGAAAGACCTATGTGGAGCCTCTGCAGACTCAACCACGTGGTAACCAAGTCAATCTGTAAGGATAAAACTTGAAATAATTATCATAATTTTAACAAATATAAAAATGAAAAAGAAAAGAAAAATCAAAAAGTTTCTTAATTCTGTATCAACTGGCATAATATATATTGTCATCTTTTGATATACAGCCAAACCTGTGACCAAAGTACATCCAAATAAGAGACCAAACATAGCCTTTATATCAGGCGGCCATTTTGAAATGTTTTTCTATGCACAATACATTCTGGTATCCTAGTATCGGTTATATTAGGTTACCACGTGACTTTAAAACATCCAATAAGGGCAGAATACAGTGAAGTCGAATATAATGTCAGTTCCACAAGAGAATTTTTTTTATATTTCAGATAAGAACAACTTGCTCACAAATCCCCCTTTACAGCCCTATAATGAAACTGCACCGTGAATACAAGACAAGGAACTATGGGATACTACTGGACTGTAATGATTCCAAAATGAAGGTGTGCTTTTTGTTGTTATACTTTTTATTCTGTGTATAGTATAAATATATTGTTTTACCGTGAAAAGGTAAAAAAAGTTGATTAATTTCAATAACTGATAAGTAATTTAAGAACAAATTATATGCACGAATCGTTTGCGTAAGAATACAACAACAACAAATTATGTTACATACGATTTTGTGATAATCTAAATCCGCGCGCAACATGTGCATTTCTATTTATAGATCTTGTTCTATTTTTAGATTGCGACAGAGACATGTGACGACGGTGTACACGAACAACTTATTAATTTAGACGTTGTCGATAAATGGGAATATTATACCATGAAATGGAAGTAACATTAAAAAATGACCGATCGCTTATATATGACTTTAAAAAATTTTTTATATCGCTTTATTTGATATTGTATATAGTTTATATTTATAGTATGCCAGTATATACATGTATGTATACGTATTGATCTCATTTTTATGTTTTAAGTTAATAAAATATGTGTTCATGTAATGAATTGCGTCATTTCCGCTCCACTCCTTGTATAGAATACCTCTGTGTAGCAAAAACCTTGCTAAAGCAACAATGTTAATGCACTTTAATTTAAACTAGACTTCTTAATATAAATTTTACTCCTTTAGAGCATCATCATCCCCCTAAGGTGGCACAAAGGTTACATGTGTGCGTTTTCATTTATCTCGTGGCCACGAGATACTATGTCGTGGCCACGAGTTACTAAGTCGTTGCCACGAGATAAATAACCAGTCAGATTACATCATTTATATGGACTTAATAACTCGTGGCCACGACTTTGTAACTCGTTGCCACGACAAAGTATCTCGTGGCCACGACTTAGCTATCTCGTGGCCACGACTTAGTAACTCGTGGCCACGACTTAGTAACTCGTGGCCACGACTAAGCTATCTCGTGGCCACGACTTAGTAACTCGTGGCCACGACATAATATCTCGTGGCCACGACTTAGCTATCTCGTGGTCACGACTTAGTAACTCGAGGCCACGACATAGTATCTCTTGGCCATGACTTAGCTATCTCGTGGCCACGACTAAGTAACTCTTGGCCACGACATAGTATCACGAGATAAATAAAAAAAACACACACATGTCACATTTATGCCACCGTATCTCCCAGAAACCGCCCAAATCTTTTATTATTTGCTAAACGATGAAGCTCTGAAGATGTACCCGTTGTACTGTATTTTCGGTTGGGTACGTTTGATTCTTAAATTTTCTTTTCAAAGAAATTTAATCAGATATATGACGCAAAGCGTTCGATTTAATCTGTAAGGCTTTAATTAAACTCCGTTCTAAGTGCTTGAACAAGATTCATTGAGTAGAAAAAGTTAAACAAGATATGGCGGAAATTGCCAAATGACACACAGAGGTCGACGTGACCTTACCAAAATGTCAAACATCCTTTTTCGTGTTTTGTCCAATCACCTTTTCATCTTTAGCTTGGTATGCGGAAGTAACGATAAGAATATTTCTTTAAAAATTGCAAAAAAAAAAGGATTTACTTTTTTGTAAAGAACGTAATTACCCGTGGTGCTCGTTTTAAAGGATTGCTTTTGAATAATTATGAATTAAATCAATGCAGGCGAAAATAAGATGTTAACATTTTAAACAAATTAAAAAAATAAGGTAGGTCTATAAGTGTACCATGAACACGACACATGGAGAAAAGGCCGTGTACTCTACATGAAATGTCGTCAGGGCACTTTACAAGAACTTGTTTGTGACAATGGCTAATGGACTGTAAACATACTCTTACCATTGTTTAATACATTGTAGTTATGAAAGTCCAAAAAATTAAGCGGTATGAAGAATTGCATAATTAACTTAAATTTAAATGATTAATAAGTAATAAGTGCGAAAAAAAGGCATGGAATTAAACAGAATATGAAACAGCGATCTCCCATTTCGTCAAAAGATTAAAAAGATAAAAGCTTTGCAGACAATACAGCCACCCTCCCCCGCCCCGGAATGTTTGTTTTTTTGCTTCAAAAGGAATTTTTAACTTAAGAAGTTGGATATACTCTTCCGTGCCTATTTAAAGCCCTAAAGAGCATTAACTCTAATCCTTTCGTAAGAGTTGCCTGGATAATATCATCGTATACTATACGAAAATATCCAGAGTGCCAATTAATTGCTATTTGAGGTCAAAGCGGTACGGGCAAGTCGGTCACGGCGACCCGCACTATTCCCCCGCCCCATCCTTGCACACACACACACACACACGCACGCACGCACGCACGCACACACACACACACACACAAACAAAGGTTTCCTATAATGTTAAGAAAAGTGAAACAAAATGAAACATTGACATGATAAAGAATCTTTTCATTGAAATAAGGCATGCGCAACAGAACAAGCAAAGTACGGGGAAAAAACTTAAAATAAAAATTATGTACTCGTACAATTAAATAAATTAAATATAAGATTAATAATTATATCGGCTGAAAAGCCAAAAACTTTCAATTGAAACGAACGCGATTTTAAATCACACGTAACTTTTCAATTCAATACAAAGAAATACATAGAAGAAAATGACACGGTTGAAAATCGCACCAAAACTCATTGCGGTTAAATATTCATAGAATTCGGTGAACTGTAAGATAATTTAATTTAATTTATGTAGAATACCGGGAAGTACCTTTATAAGAATAAATCATGTAAGTTTATGCCCATGTCATGGATTGAAAGGTAAAATCCATGTCATTTTCCGAGCCATTTTTACAAATGAAATAGTAAATAGATATATGCCTATAGGTTTGTTTTGTAGAAGCATGGGACTAAAACATCCCCGGACGCCCTGGTCTGTTTACTTTCTTCTTTAAAAGAGAAGACATATTAAAGTGACATTATGTCCATCCATTGGAAGATATAGAGTGAACAGGTGAAAGTCAAAACATGTCAACATTTTCTCATAATTCTTTTCAATTTTATAATTCACTTCACATGAACCATAAATAACTCACTTGGTCCTGTGAAATGTGTGTACTTATCCTTCGGAATGTATCTGTAACTTTCAATTTATAAAAAATAGTGGGGCATTTTATTTATATATATTGGGTTAAATTTTTTTTCCCCTAAATATTTTCAAATATCTTGTGATGGTCAATCACCATTAGAACAACCAGTTTATTGAAATATATAGTCAATTAAAGTCAATTTGACGATGAAAAAATGGGCATAATGTCACTTTAAGTGTTTTTAAAAGGGGGCTAGCTTTTAACGCTCCTGTCATTGTTAAAGTGTTAAGTTTGCTTAATAATGTAAAAAGGTAAACTTCAAACTGTGTTCAGGAAAATACATCAAAATTCTCAATTGCATGTCTAAAAAAATAAGGTTGACTAGAATTTAACATCCCAGCTTCAATGTTCTATTTTCTGGAAAATACGATTATCACGACACTTAAAATGAACATCTGAATCGCACCATAAGCCCGCATTTAACTTTTTTTCTGCAGGAAGGCATCCAGAAAAGAGTAAGGAGTTTGTTTATAGTTCATGAACTACTGAGCGCAAGTTTCTGAACCCGTGCCTGAGTGTTCTACACAATTATTTCAAGTAAGCGTCAAAATGACCAAGAATGGTTGGATTCTGGCAGTTCGACGCTTTATAAGATAAATGCAAAAGCGACAGTGGCGGTTCGGAAGCAAATGCATTTATTTGTCAATGCTAGTTTCATGTAATTTATATATAAAGGAACAAAGGGTGCGTGAACAAGTCAAGTTCATCATAATAAGCACAGTCGCATTTCCGGTTGGGCCACTCTGTCGGATCATGGCTATAGTCCGACAATAAACTCGATACCGTTCCATTCCGTGCAAACTACTCCCCTGCTTCCTGATCAAGTAATTTTATCCTAATACCGATCGAAATTATCGATCTGGAAAATAATAATATTGATCCTTATTCTTATCCTATTTTTATTGATCCTAGTTTCGACAATCTGCAGATCACTTTTAGGATAAAACAACTTGATAAGAAAGCAGAATGTGATTATAATCCTGCATTGTTACTCTTAATTCTTAATCTGTGCCTAAACAATATTTATTTATGGCCTGAAAGTCTCTCCACACTTTACCACTGTACTTTCTTTTCTGAAATCTCGCAGATTTTCAAAAGTTCTGTCTTGTTTTCAATTTATTTTCTTTTTCATTCTCATACAACATTTTAATATTTCTAAAACATAATTTCTTTTCTGTCGAAATGAGTTTAATAAAATTTTAACCATTATCTTGCGTATATATGTTCACAATCTTATTGAATGACACCGCACGGGAGGTGTGATTTTACGTTTACACATGAAAAGATTTCACTGGTACTTACAAAGGTATTAAATCAGGATAAATGAAGAGGGTAATTTTGCATGACTTGGATATGCAAATGAGATAGGCGATGCGTTCAGCCATGAAAAAATATTTATACTCATTGAACATATAAGCTTGAAACGATATGAAAATTTAGTTAATCTTAATATATATATCAAATATATTAAATGCAGTAAGCTAAAATTATTTACATTAAAATTTAGTCATACATTTGAATGCATTTGATTTTTCGGGTAAGAAAAAATCGCGGGGAACTGTTATGCATTATTTACTCATAACTTGGTGTGCGTGCACAATAATTACAACCGGAAGTGCTTTGCACGCGTCGTACTTTCAGGACCTGCAAGAAATCGGTATGATTTTTCTTTTTTACTTGTCTTTTCTAGCTTCATTTTTAAAAACAGTTATTTCAAAGTATTCTAGCGTTGCTGATTAGGTACAGCGTTAGATTTACTGGAATTTTAGTCATGGGTTCGAGTCCTGAAGCACTGAACCTATGCTCCGGTATAAGTTCACCGAAAACACCATGTAAATGTTACAAATCACTTGCTTTTTTAACCTTTAGAGAATTAGTAAATAAACTGGCTGCGTATTAAAATGAGACTGTATCGATAAGTGCAAAACATGTTTATTTTTTGCTAGCACATGGCACTGTTTTCTGTTTTCTATTATTTTCTACCCCCGCCGCCCGCCCCCCCCCCCCCCAAAAAAAAGTAAATAAATAAAATTATGATTCTTTCTTGAATATTGAATTCAATTAACAAATAATGAAATGTTAGAAAAAATACCACGAAGGCCGTCTTTTGTATAAGTTGTCTAGATCTGTCCCATACAGATCACATTAAAAATAATGTATGTGTTTAATATACAAAATATAAGAAATAAATGGCAGTTACTTTCGCATCAAATAAAACTCATTACCAAAGGCCTTTTTCAATGTATTTTTTTATCATACAAGATTGTCACCAAAATACTCTAGTCAAAGAGGGTGGTACAAAACGATAACTGATTTTAAAATTACCTTTTGTTAATCTTACAATAAATTCGTACGAATCGGGTGTAAAATATGGATATCTCGGTGTTGCGTGAAAATCATACGAGCGTGACCGGGGCTAAACTGTTTCTTATTTTGTTATTTATTATAAAGCTTTTTGATAAAATGTTATAAAAATATGGTCCAATAAAAATAGGTGACGGTCATATAAAAAACAATATTATGTAAAAATATATAACGAATATATAAAACTTCACCATTGTTTCATTTTAATAACTTACAGATAGAAAATAATAAATAAATGTTGCTGCAGCCACGTATATAGATGCTATGGAAGTCTAGCTTGTCCCGTTACAAAGTCGCAGTATAATAAAGTTGATATATGAACTAAGCTTATCCATTGAAAAGCGACGTTACAAAGTTGCAGAATAATAAAGCGGATAAAATGATATGACGTTTTGAACTAGGCTTAATCCTTACAGGCTTGCGGACCATTTTTTACCTGTTTGTTAAAGACAATACTGGCAGAAACAATTAATTCATTAAAACATAATTTATTAGGTAAACCATCTAATAATACATCTTATTGAAAACCATCAGTAGCGTCGATTTATAAAGAAAACTGACGATCTGACAGTTATTATTTCCTTTGATCATTGAAAATATCACGCTTATACAAGAAGTTGTCTCCCTTCGTACCGTCGATCAAAAAAGTTTTCGATTACCCAATACAATTTTTGATCTGTTTAATATGTTCTTTAATACCCTATTTATGCTTTAAAAACGTTTAATTGCTGCACAATAAGTCATGATTTAGCTGAATTTAGCAAGATATTTTAGGTTTAAGTTATGGCCATTTAACACATATTGTTATACCCGAATGCAGTTCAAGTATACCAAATCGAAGTAAAGAGGACCATTACCATAATCTTTTCCTTGCTTCACTGAATTTGTAACTTCACATAATGCAGGCAAAAATTTAGTTTATTTCATTATTTCAAAAATACTTTATTTTCATTGGTAAACCATAAAATTTACAACAATTCAAATTTTCCCTTCGATTCTTTCCGTGTTATTTATTTGCTTAAAGGGACTCTACTGAGTTTTTTTGACATGATGGGATTGGAATGTTTTACCCAAGATTTCTGTACCATTTGATGTAGGTCTGAACTAATAACATGTGTGCACATTTTCAGATCATTCCCTCATCCTGTTTATCCAGAATAAGCATTTGTATTGTGCAAAATGACCCAATAATGACAATCGGGCAAAGCTTTTACACATATAGGGCTAAAAATATATGTGAAAAAGAAGACGAAAAAAACAACATGCTTTTAGGGCTTGATGGGCCTTTAAAAATATAGCGTATTCTTTCTAAAAAAAAGTTTTTAAGTGTGTCAACTTGAGGAATAGGTTCATTGGGGGAATGAGGAATCATTTATTTAAACTCGTAAATTGTTATAATTGAGCTCAAATAATAAAGTCATAAAAACAATATAATTATATAATCGATGTTGTAAATCGCTTTATTACATGCTTTTCGGTGGTTTATAGAAATATATAAGTGATATAAAACTGGTAATTTCACTGTTTGAAACAGTGAAATTACCACTTTGATAATTTCACTGTTTTGAATTTAAGCCCCTTACGTTGTTTCAGTGAAATACCAGCGTGCACAGAACTGGGTACCAACTTAATGACGTGACGTCGTAAATGACGTCACGTTGTATTATTATTTGGCGCTTTTTCATTCAGTATTAGGTTTAATGTCTTTTTAAAACGTTTCTTTGCATATAATAAAAAGAAAATTTGTTTAGTTAAGTGTAAGATCGAAAGATATTTCACCTTGTGAACACCAAAAGTTCATATTTCACTCGTGGCTGCGCCACTCGTGAAATATACCTTTTGGTGTTCACTCGGTGAAATATATAGAGGATATTCAAGTTTTTTCTATAAATACATGATTTATTTTCATCGAGTGGTATGAAAATAAATATTTCATGAGTGGCGTTAGCCACGAGTGAAATATGGTAATTTTCATGCCACAAGATGAAAATAAATCATGTATTTATAGAAAAAACTTGAATTTTCTGTTTATTATATACATTTTTCTCTTTTCTGACATTAAAATTTAAAAGACTTTCCTTTAAATTTTGTGTACTGGCAGCATTTAAAAGAAAGTAGTCTGGCAAGACACCAGTGAAAATACGGAAAATATGTTTCACTGCAGTGAAAAATAAATTTTTACAGTGGAAATACGGAAAATGAAAATACGCATTTTATTTCATCAATATTTCTCAATATTTCATTTATAAGTATATAATAAATTTCGATCTTACACTGAACTAAACAAATATCCTCTATTTAATTTCATTTCCTTTTCAATTTCCAAAAACGTTGCTTTAAACACCTCTATGCCACCAGCAAATTAGTTTTTGTTAATCAACTTCAACATTATTTTTTATCTCTGAAATTTAGACGTCTTTAACTGGATGTGCATTTGTACAATGTAAGTTAAAATAAATAATTTAGATAAAGCTTTCCGATGAAACAGAAAAATAAATGAGCTAACCATTGTTCTATTTTCTATATTCTAGGAAGACTTACTAGTAGTTTGCTTTCATGCATTACGGAAAAATGTTGCGGTTTATACGTTATGTCAGCTATCACCGCGTGTTATTAATACTCCCTCCGATAAGGTCATTAGAAATAAAAAAAAAAATTCGGCCTGTATGATGAATAATTAAAAACGAATTTTAAGTTGATAATTGGTATTGCCTAAATTGAGATTTTATCTTGTTATGTTTTATTAATTTTCTCATTTTGTTCTTTATTCCCCAATTCAAAACTCATGATCATATTTTATGATACTTTACTGGGCGTCCGTGGCCGAGTAGGTAACGTCGCTGACTTCAAACCACTTATGGGGCTCAAATCCCGCCGGAGTCCGTGGAATTTCGTCGACTAGCTAACATAACGTCGGTTGCTCTATTCTGGTGCCCGTTCGTGCCTGAAATTATGTACAGAATGACACCAAAAGGTTTCCTTTACAAGTAAAAGCTTAAAAGTCGCAATATGGTCCTTATTTTGGCGGTGTGACTTAGTACCCAGCAAAACAAACATACAAAAACCAAACACATTCATGGTAGGAGATTATAATTCTCATAGAAAGTACAGTACATGAAAAAAAAGATTCTTACTCAATAATAATGATCGTATGATTGTAAAAGAAAGGCAATAATAGCATAATGTTTCACCTATACCATTGTCTGTAACGTTATGCACCAAAGGCTTAAACATATTTTTACCGTTTATACATGTACATTGCAATATTAGTATTCACTCCTGTTAAATGATTCTGACTGTTATATTAATATATTACTTACATGTAACATAGTCAAGTCTTAAAGCAGCATGTCTCCAGATTCATGCTTATTTTCATGAAAATTTGAAAAATGTATTTAAAAGCGAAATATTGTGAAGTAAACATAGAAACTAATTAACACATTGCAAGTATCACTTACAACCCACGTCAATTACCAGAATAGGTCAAAATAAGCAAAATTAGCCCTTACAGCGTTAGTCACGCCAAAGAATACTGTTAAATCAGTCATTAATCGTATAAAAAAAATTAAGGAATCACTTGAATCTTATAACTTTTAACTTTTCCTAATATCTTAGATATATTTTCTCACGTTTGATTTTCTTGAAATATTTAGGCTCATTCGGAGGCATGCAACTTTAAAGAAAAATGCTATTGTTCGAATACTAATGACACCATGTTTTATGATTTCAATTATTTTTTGATAAACACGAATTATTAATTTACTTAGGATGCATATGGAATGAATTTAAAAAATCGACATTCGTTCCCTACATTCGTGTAACTTATTCGTTTTTTAAACATGTCATCGTATCCTGCAGCGATAGACGGCTGCCAACAGCTTTTTTTGCAGCATGAAAAGAAATTTCATTTTCTTTAATTTGATTTTCTTTTCATACGTGCGGTGTATTAAGATTTTGTGAAAGTCATAAATTGACAAGGTGAAAAAAATCTTCTTTTTAGTTATTCAAGCCAATATGTTCCCCTGTGATGCATAAAGTTCAATACAAGGCCGGGTTATTCGTCTAGGTGAATAGTGCATAGAGCATCGGGTTGATATGGAATACAGGGTATTTTTTGCAAAGGGAGGTTACTCTGACACAGCCTTTTATTCACTGAGTGAATGCCATTTTTAGTGATTATACTAATTATAACGATGGTCAGACAGTTGTTATCTGTGTGTTTTTTGTTTATGTTTTTTTTGTTCTGTTGTCATTGTTGTTTTGTTGTTGTTGTTGTTTTTTATTTTTTGTTTT